GGCCGCCGCGCCGCGCTTCTCTCCCTTCCCCTCCTCCTCTCTCCTCTCCTTCTCTACTTTCCCTTCTCACTGTAGATTCGCGGGGGTGGAGAAAGAGGACGAAGAGAGGATCGTAATTGTATTATCGGGACGAAATCACGAGGTACATTCTCGGATATACATCGGATAGATACGCGGATTGAGACCGTGCGCGACCAATGCGTTAGATTAATTTTTTTCCCAACGAGAAAGAGAACAAATTTAATTATCAACATTATATTCGGAATGTTTGGACATTGGGAAAGCTCTTCTCTTTCCGGAATGCGATACGTTCGACGACGTATTATGGTAAATTTGATAAATGAAATGCGCACACGAGTACGCGCGCGCGCGCGCGCGCGTGCTTTTGGGAAGTGGAGCGTGCCGAGGGAGTCGGCCTTTTTGATACGCAAAGAGATACTATCGGGTTGTTTGAACGGAAGAAACGCGCCAGCTAGCCAGGTAAGCTTGTAAACTTAATGACATCACGGGGGCCATTTATGACGTTTATTAGATTCCGTTAAGACGTCTATTATTACGGTACATAAATAAAGGGGGAGAATTCGCACCCTTTGCCGAGGGACGGAGCGGAATGCGGCGAAAATAATGAAATAAAGGACAATGAAGTGACAGGTACAATGGCCAATAGAGCACAGGACGAAAGTGAGGACGAACAAGGCGCCAGCGGGCGGCGAGTACGAGTCCTCGGCGTGGAAGGGGTTGCAACAAGGGGTACAGCGAGCGAGGCGCGCTTTAGTTAAATGCAGTGGGCGTGTTCCCATTACTTTCATTATTTTCAGTCGCCGGGGGTTCGGTATCGATGTAGCCTGAATGTAACCCCGCGCGTATCGCGGGCAAGGTACCTACGAGTTAGCGCGCTTTTACCCAAATCGATGCAAATTGATCAATAGTTTACGACAGTTTGCGAATTTATTGGACCGACGATATGTATCGCGTCGCGAGCGCGAGCGCAAAGATCAATTTAATCCGCTCGAAAGTGGGGACGAACGTTGTAATCGAAGAGCGGACCGAAAGGCACCGCGGCAAGGCAGCACGAGGGTAGACCGTTAGCCTAACAAGCTGTCAAGACGTCGCCGCGTGTCAATCCGCGGCTCTTCAACGATCCCCGAAACAAAGCCGCCTAAAACCTCGACGTCTCACGGCCCACGCAACTCATCCAACGGATGAGAATTTTCAGCCGGTTGCCAGCTCGTTTAACTTTTTCGCAGAACAAAAATTTCTGCTCTATTGCAACCGTTGCAATTCTCTGTCGCAATCGAATGTGGAACGGGCATCGGATCGAGGAAAAAAAAGGCGTGAGAAGGGAAAGAAGAGGATATTCGTCGCAGAGACAACAGTGTTACTGTCCACGTGCCATTTAACTCGATCACAGTAGCAATCTGGCCTCGTTTCACAACCTCTGGTTACTACGACGCTTCCGCTAACAAATAACATTGTCGTCGACCCTGCGCGGGGGCGTTCTGATTCGATTTGCGCACCGTGAAAGCGCGCTCGAGAAGGAACGGCGACCGAGCGAGCGTGAAACGAGAAGAGCGGCGCGTGGCGAGGGTAAAAGGCTCATCAAGAATACCGCGTATGTTATCTCTTTGCCGTGTGCGTTATTTCTTCGCGGTAATCGCAAAATACAAAAATCAGCCGACTGTTTAAAAATTGCGTTATCCGATGATTTGACTATTTACTACGCTAAACTAAAAGATAGACACACACACACACACACACACACACGAGCCACGCAACTTCTCTCGGCACTTGGCGCGAGATCCCTATCTACACGACGTGTTTAAAAATAATTGCCGCGGTAGATTCGATGATAGTCACGGAGTCGCTCTTACCTCGACGCTTCCTGGCCTCTCGAGTGGCCCTCGTACCACGATATAAAGGTGAACTCCCCAACGTCCCCTTCTGCGAGGCCTCGCGTCTCTTTCGCTACCGGTCGAGAGCCGTCCCCCTTCCTCGCAGCCACTCTATCACGGCGTTTAAAGAAGTAAAGACTAAAGGTCCTTTACGTGTCAAGAGAGAAAAAGAGAGGCCTTGCTACAACGTTCAAGACGGGCCCGCTCGAAAGCAGTCGAGATACTCGATGACGACAGGAAGAACAAACCGGCCGATATCCAGTTTATCGCTGAAAAGTAGACCAACATGTTATAATCGAGTAAAATCGCAATGCATAACTATTATATTACGACGTTATTATAATTATATTGTATAATATAAAATTTTATACGTAAAAATATATTTTAAAAAACCGTCCAGTGTATGGATTTAATTGGATATAATATAATATAATGTAGTTTCAACAATCGGAAAAACAGATGCAGAACATATTGTTATCAATAAATATGAGTAAATAGAAACAAATTGGAAAAAATTAGAAAATAAAAATGCGTATTTATTATCTCAATGCGCTAATTTTATTCTAATTTTCCCTAATTTATCTATCTATGTCTATTTATAATAATAATGTATCTGCATCCATTTCTGAATTGAAACAATATCGATTATATTATACTTGAATTCATACTTGTATTATCACATGAATATTTTTCATTTATAATTTATAAATGTAGCATAGACAAACCATCATTTACTGGCAGTGAAAAGTAGATATGACCATAATTTTAATTCTAAAGTGCAGATGGCGGTAGTAAATAGGGCTCATTTTACTGCTCACTCTATTTGCATATCAGTTAAAAGATATCCTGAACAATAAAAATGCAAAATATATTATCTTAATGCAGCTAATATTATAAAGACATACCTAATGTTAAGATGTTCGGATGCATCATCGCCACATTTCAGCATGAAGCTAACCTGGCAATGAAAACCTTTGACAATTTCAAACGATTCCCAAAGCAGGAACAAAAGAAATCCGTGAATACTGTAATCATGACATATCGGAGTGTAATTAGCAATTGTAAGATAATATTTCAAAAATTACGATAAACATTCGGTGCTTTCCGCGAGACAATCAAGATAATCTACCGCGCGCAAGATTTACATTCAAAATATTTCAGTAAATTTGAGAAATACACAAAATAGTAAAATATTACACGAGGCAGAAATATAGCGCAGCTGATTGCAGAGTGTAGATATGTCGTACTTGGCAATAATTGTGTACTCCTTCGCAATTTGAAGTAAAAAAGTGCGTAATGAAACTCACCGATACGTTACAAGGCATACTGTAATGAGTCTGTTCTAAAATGCACTGTCAGTAAAGGTGTATCCAGACAGATTTGCATAGTATATGCATAAAGCCAGACTATGCAATTTTTCATGCAACTTATTGCAGCAATTATTTTTGTGATTTATCGCACTACACGCAAATGAAGTAACATTTCTAACAAGTTTTAGATGTAAACTAAACTATTGTCGACTACAGAATAAAATACTACGGTTATGTTGGTACGACACTTGAAATAGACAAATGCATAAAAACAAAAATATTACTATAATTGCATGCAACTAGCTGCTAGAATTAAAACTAGGCAATGGGCGGTATTCATAGTCCGTTCTTATATTTAAAATCGTCTTAAGCACGGACTTATATTCGCTCTCTTCGTCACACATAGATTGTGTCTGACGAAGAGAGCGAATATAAGTTCGTGCTTAAGACGATCTTGAATATAAGAACGGACTATGAATACCGCCCAATAAGTTGCATAAAAAATTGCATAGTTAGGCTTAAGGAATTGGATTGATCCATTTCCTTATGCATCTTCTTATGGATATATTCTTCATATTGAAACCAATTGAACGAGGCTTAAGAGTGTAGTTTCTGCATTACCGATTGCGGCATGAATAATGATAAAGAATTTCCAGTTATGCGCCACATTCTACTTGACGCGTTAGTGTCACTAAAAGCTGAAACTTATCCTTATAAGAGTAAAAAAATCTATGCCCCCATTATTTGTATTTATAATTTGCATATTGTGTACAGTTTAAAGAAATCTCACACATGTCAACAAGTGCACTTCATACGCCAGGTTAGTAAAATACGGCCAAGAGCAACTGCGGTACACAAAGAATCGAATCACTTATTAATAAAACAAAAAATAAAAATATGTTGTAGACAGATATTGTGTACTTTTCTGAGAGACGCGTCAAATCGTGTCGAGTTAGGTTAGGGTTAGGGGTTAGGTTACATAGAGTTAGGTTAGGATTAGATCAAGTAATCGGTTTTGTCGACGGGTGTCGAGCAGCGCATTTAAAGGAGTGTCTCGCACTCGCGGACGGGCTAATGGGCGAAGGTTAATTTGGCAGCTGCCGCGAGTGTGCTCGCGTTTCGTGATCACGGCGTGACGGTGATGCGAAGCAACGACGAAAACAAGCAAAAAATTGCAACGAGATCACCGTTGCGTCGTGTTCTCTGTGCTCGGGCTCAAAGCTGCCTCGAGCCCTCGCGACACTTCAACGTCGCGTTGCATCTCGCCGTTTACGGTCGTTTCGGTAAACAACACGGGTGAAACGGCGGCGAGAATGGATAAACACAGCTTGGGCGTTCATACGTTTTTCATTGACGCGTATTGAAATATCTGGCTGACAGAGGTTCTCAAATCAAGAATAGTCATTGCACAAGTAGGTATATTTCGAAATACATAAACGCCTTTCGCATTGGAATTAATTATCGGAAAATGGAGCGACGCTAGTGTAGGAATACGAGTGCAAGTGCGTGGCCTCGCTTCGCCGAGTCGTGTCGCATCGCGCCGACCCATTCTTTTTACGGGTTTTAACCTCGTCTGAGCGTGCGCGACGAGGCGTTGGGTGTGCGGCTGCTGCTGCTGCTGCTGAAAGAGAGAGAGATCGCTCGTGACATAATAGCTCCGTTATTCCTCCTTGCGAAGATTTAGTCCGCATAGTGACGAGCAAGGGAGACTACGAGGGGGAGAAGCGGAGGCCCAGCTGTTCGCAGCATTCGCGACTTCGCCGGTGCACAAAGATTCGATATATCACTCCCTGTACGCCGCGGTATTCGCGATGTAAATACATATACTCATCGTACCGTTCAAGTCGCGCGCTGCTGAATCCGCTGCTTTATTGCGGTACAATTTTGCATATTGAATAATTGCGAATTCCTTACTCCAACGTGCGGCTATGACGACTTGTTCGACGCGACCAATATTTGCCTTAATTTTAAAATACTCTAACAGTTAACCCTACTATATGCCTTTGAGTTACTGGCACTTCCGTGCACATACTAAAGCGTTCGTATAATAGACTCGTCTTAAATGCGCGACAACTTGTATATTACAATTTTGTTCGATCGAATGAGAAAAATCGAGTCCAGGTGTTTATTTTCTAAAATATTTGAAGATATAACGATTTATATTCGAACACTATTCTTCGTAGCAATCGGCAATTGGAATATATTGTCGTTGTACCGAAAATATCTGGCCAAATTATTATCTGAAATGATAGAATTAAATATTAATGTTTATCCTATTTTGTCGCGACGGAATGCTTACGAAAAGAGACGCGATAAAGTTAATAAGTGGAATCATTCGTAATGACGATCTATTCGAAAAGAACGCGCGGTTGTGAAATAAAGAAGCATTAGAAGCAAAGTAATCTGGAAAATTTAAAATCAAAATATTAAACGATATATCGTGCACGTGTGTACAGAAATATTGCGGGAGAAAAAAAGTGAAGAGGAGAGAGAGAGATGACTCGATCAAGAGGAACGTAAAAATCTACCGTCACCCTGGCGCGTGGCAAACAGGGCCAAAGGTGTAGATCCTCGTCCTTCTCATCCTCGTCCACGGAGAGACTGCAAAAGATGCCTGGACCATCGACGCAAGACAGACCCCGTGCTCATCGGCTCACGGATATCGAGTCTCAAACTGCGAAGGTTAAACATTTGTAATTACCTAATATATTTCATTTGCACTCGAATTTTCATCACAAAACATACCAGTCCAATTTTGATGAAATTTTACCTAGCGGTGATTATTTTAGATTTATACACATGTTTCACGTTTACAAGTTTTTGCACGGACATTCAAATTCATTATTATTTTTTCTTTATTTAATATAAAGACGCCGTTGTGAAGTGAGGACTTGATACTTATTTTGTTGAGTGGTATATTGCAGAACTTTGGTGGCAATCGAATGGACGACTTCAGCACGCCCGTTACTTCTGGCAGCAATATGGGTAGTATCGCGCGCTTTCCAAAACTCGACGAATGTGCCCATTTTCACTACGAACACGTCGAGCTCGGTACTTTGGAGGTATGCCAAATAAGTGACACACGCAGAATGTACACAAGAGCCAGTTAAGACACGGCTCAGTTTTCAGGTATCCATCAATGAAGGTTCCAATGACTCGGAGAGCTACGCCGTTCGAATAACATCCGGAGATGCGTGCTGGACGCTACAGAGATCTTACGACAACTTCGTCATGTTTGATAAGCAACTGCATCGCTGTATATTTGACAGAAAATTTTCTTCTTTAACGAAGCTTCCAGAAATTCGGCCAAAAAATACCTGTGATATACTGAAGGATTACTTGAGACGATTCTCGCAATTGAATCACGAAGGCCTAAACTGTGGACCAGTGTTGAACTGGTTGCAGCTCGACAACAGAGGGAGAAGGATTCTGGTGCCGGAATCAGATTCCTGTCCTATAAACACTCCAGCCGTCGCCGCGGCCTATGCAGTGAGACCGTACACTGCCCAAGCGCAAGATGAAATTTCCTTTCAGGTAATTTCACTAAAAAAACACTTTTTGAAGGTACGATTTTTCCAAACAACACGCCATGACTAATTGAATTTATACGACAAACAGGTGGGCGACATGATATCCGTTATAGACATGCCTCCTGCGGGGGAGAGTACCTGGTGGCGTGGAAAGCATGGATTCGCAGTTGGATTTTTCCCAGCTGAATGCGTCGCTGTAATCGGAGACAAAGTGCCACGTCATTTGACAGTTTCAACGACAGTCAGATCCAGATTGCCAGTGAAGCCCGTGCTTCGTAAACACGGCAAACTAATCGCCTTCTTTAGATCTTTCATATTAAATCGGCCTTCTAGGAGAAGATTGAAGCAATCAGGTATATTGCGAGAGCGCGTGTTTGGTTGCGACTTGGGAGAGCATCTACTAAATTCTGGCCAAGACGGTAAGCTTTGTTGCGTAAGATAAATCATTTGCCGGATCAATTGTAAATAGAACGGAAGTGCAGGAAGGATGATTGTTCGTTTTGCAGTACCCACCGTTCTCACGTGCTGCGCGGAATTCATAGAGAAACATGGTCTAGTCGACGGTATATATCGTCTAAGCGGTGTGACATCCAACATTCAAAAACTGCGGAACGCGTTTGACGAAGATCGAGTGCCAGCGCTGCACTCCGACGAAAGTATTCTGCAAGACATTCACTCTGTAGCGTCGCTATTAAAGATGTACTTCAGAGAGCTGCCGAATCCACTGTGCACGTACCAACTTTACTCCACCTTCGTCAATGCGGTTCAAGCTAGCAGCGACGCCGAAAGATTGAGGCGTATGAGAGACGCCGTTAGAAAGTTACCACCACCTCATTACAGGTAGACGCCCCTTTTTTTTTCATTGCCGGTTAATTGCGTCTTCTTATCTCAGCAATTGGCTCTAATTCTTAATTAAATAACATGTGCGCAGAACACTGGAATATCTAATGCGTCATCTGGTGAGGGTAGCCGCACGTGGCACGGAAACTGGCATGACACCGCGTAACGTGGCCATCGTCTGGGCGCCGAATCTCTTGAGATGCAAGGAGCTGGAAGTGGGCGGCGTAGCCGCGCTCCAAGGCGTCGGAGTCCAGGCGGTGGTGACGGAATTTCTAGTCTGTTATGCAGAACTGATATTCGGGGATGGTCCTGTCGGGAGGCCAAAATCTTTGGCGATCACCACGTCTACGCGACTGCTCACTCTGGAAGAGGCGCGCAACAGAAGCTTCAGGGGCGAACCGGATTATATCGAAGTAGGGGCAGGTCCTGCCGGTTTACCGCTGCGCTATCACACGGTCATAGAACTGCCGCGCAAGAGAAATGGCTCGAAACGATCGCCCTCGTTGAATTGGAGGGCGTTATTCGGCAGAGGGGCCGTGGGAAAAGCGAGACAGATCGGTACACCGCCCCAGGCGGAAACAGTGTCAAGTTCCTTAAACTCTCTGCGACGGCTGAGACCGGTGAAAAGCGCCGACAGCTTGGACGGCGAAGATAGCCTGGGCCCGCTCTTGGGCGGACCACCTCCCGCCAGAACATGCGGTCACAGCCGATCCGTTTCGCACGATTCATATTTCGATCATTTGGCCGACGCGCCCAATGCCTCTTCGCCGTTGGATCTCTCGGAAATACAGCTCAATTTCGATTTGGAAGAACGAGAGATGAGGATGCTTTCAGAAGAGGAAAGCGGCGGCGGAGTGGCGTCGATAGAGGCGTCGCCGCGTCGGCAAAGGGCCGAGGGGAGTCAGTGTATCACTGCTAGTGGCGGATCCAAGAGGAAACGATCTCGTTTAGAAGAAAGACTGCAGTGCGATGTCGAGCTGCGCTTCATAGATAGCCAAAGTCCTGATCAGGTGATTGGCATTAATTTAAATCGCCGTCTACTATATGCGTTATGTATGTCTAATCTTTCGCATCTTTCAGATTATGGTAACGACAAGTGCGGATATTCACAACATCGAGACGCCATCTCCGTTGCCAACGCCAGGCTACTTGCCGCTGTTGTCGGAGGCTTCCACACCGCTAACGCCGCCTACGTTGCAGGGCACGTCCCATTCCACGTCGCCGATACCAGCTAATAGTCCCCGAATAAGTTTCCGAAGTTTCACCTTGCCGTTGGAGATCGGCGATGAGAACAGCAAATTGAAGGAAACCAGCGGATTGTCTTCTGAAAAATTGTCCGATCGCAGCCATAGATTATCTATAAACTTAGAGGACCGGTCGAGGGGATTAGAATCGTGTGAAAGAACTTACGACGGCGGACGCGCACAATTGCATGACAGAAGTGTAACCGCGTCACTTTCGGACGCTGAAAATCAGGTCACAACTCAGTCGAGTGCAGTCGCTTCGATTTTCAACGACACGGAGATGACGTCGTCCAACAGAACGTTATCGTCTTTGTGCGTGGAAACCGAATCTGGCGGTATTCATATATCTCGCAAGGACACGACGGACGAATCGACTTCGCATTCCATAGAAATCTCGTCCAAGTCTTACGATGAGAAAGAAGTCGCGGACGATATGGCTAAAGAATGCGACGAGTCTGCCGATCCACCGAGTAAGCTTGCCGCTACAGTCGATTTGCTGAGACTGCCATCGTCCACCACGACCGATCTCGATTCTCCAATGTCGTGCGAGCAAACTCTGCAAGAGTTACAGGAATCCGGATTTGTAATCTGTGATAGTTCCGATAAAGTATTTGCCAATACGGAAAATCCGCGCGCGACGAGCAGCGCCAACGATTCCGGCGACTGGGTGATCATCGGCGGCACGGCGACCGGTTCTCTCACAACACCGATGAGCGACGCGGTTAGTCCCAACGATTCCTTTCTGGAAAGTGGCGCAAATCCAACGACGTCAGGAAACGTCTCTGGGAAATCATTAGAGCTCACATTAGCTTCAAACAATACGAATACATTTTGCATCGAAGTCGGCGACGCGAAATCATTGACGGGGAATCGTATATCGACGCAGGAGAGCGAAGAGATGATGCTCGATGTTATTGACACGAAGAAGTATGCGAATCGCGAAGACGAACGGCAAGTAGCCGATTCGCAAGCCAGTTTCGATCTCATGAATAAAGATAATCTCGTGGACGACGCCCATGCGCAACTGCGCGATCAAGAGAACGGCAATCGATACTCGTGCACGACGACTAATGTTAATTCGAGTCAAGAGACCAACGTGAGAGAGCACGCGCAGCAGGTTCACGCGTGTTACATCGAGGCGGACAACGCGAATATATTTGGTACAAATCGGAACGAAGTGCGCGAGGAAAAGGAGATATTTAGAGAAACGGAAATTTTCGAGAATTATCACCGTCTGTCGAGGGGCACGTCTCCGAGATTCTCCGGTAGATCCGAAGAGAAGCAGGAAACGAGCGTCTCCGTAACGCTGGACGATCACGACAACGATCATTGTTCGAACGGACTGACAAAAAAGTGCCAAAGTTTCGGATACAATAATTCGCAGAGACAGCAGACTAATACGCAACAAATACGTAAATGCGCTTCCAAACGTAATGAGGAGAGTCCCAAGTACGCCAACCTCCAAGCTAATCAAATACGAGGTAACATCGAGGTAAGAATCCCGTCGGAGAATGCGGCTGAACCGTGCGAGGTAGCGCACGCGCCGGAAGGAACATCGGAACTAATGGAACGGGCGTTAGACACGTCGGGCACATTTTCCAACGTCTCGTCTCCCAGAGTCGACGACGCGGTGGTTTTACGCGACACCGCAGCCATCCTGCAGGAACTAGCTTTACAACGATTGTCCGGAGGCGCTGTGGGCAGCGACGTGTCTGTGTCCACAAGAAGAAAGTACGAAAACGAAACGGCAAGGGATAGAAAGAGTTTTGATTCGGAAATCGGCAGAGAGATCGTTCGAGAAAGGAAGATGAGACAAGAATTAGATTATGCGAGGGGTAAATCCGAGGAGTCGCAACATTTACCGCCTTGTTTACGGGCGCGTCACGCGAGAGCGACTCGCGCGACGCTGAGTCGATCCCTAGACGAAGCCAAGTTTAACCGGATGACGGGGGAAATGCCATTGTCGGTGAAACAAGCGTCCGGTAGATCCGAAGATGCGCAGCATTGCTCTACGCCTAACGTCGGCAGCGGCTCCAGCACCTGCTCGAGCGCTTCCGAAAAGATTCAATTGAAGAATCTCGGTGGCCTAGATTTGGGAGACCCGCTGTGTCGAGAGAGAATCGAAAAGTACAAAGAAGAAAGAAGAACGTTCCTGAGGGACAAATATCGATCGGAGAGCTTTCGCGGAGTTTCACCGAAAACGGAAGACGACGGTGAACAGGCGTTATTAACCAGGTTGAAAGCAAGAGCTTCGAGACCTTCTCTTCATTGATGAAAAAGTGGTTCGGTCTTCTCACAAGTTTTGCTCTCTACAGTAGTATAAATAAGTTCCGGAGCAGTTAATGCATGACGCGATATCCAATATCATCTATCTGCATTTTAGGACAAGTGCGAGTTATAGAGTGGCTGTCGAATTAATCGATTCGTGATCCTTGCAAATTCTATAATCTTTCTCTTGACATCGCGTTTCTCTTTCGTTTTTAAAGCAGTGAATATAGGATTTTAATTAGAACGGAACATCGAACAAATATATATGTAAACGATAGTTATAGAGAATTTGTTATCTTAAAACATAACTTACAGCTCATATATTTTTATTGGATTTACATTAATATTCCAGATATACTCTTACTTGGGCTTATTTGTACTACTTACAAGCGGATGCTGTTGCATTTGATGATATGTTATTTATTCCGTTAGACGCTAAATACTTTTACTCGATTTACCGCTTTCACTTGAATCTCAGCGGTGTCGCGGTTATTGTATCGGCATCTTAAATGATATTGAAAGTGGATTACAACAAGAATTATATAAAACAAGTTACTCGATCTATAACTCATTTTTGTCTCGTCAATCGCCATTATTAGCGAATTTGTACGAACGCTATTAAAACTCATTGTTAATTTATTACAAACTCAAAGATATTCATTTATATTATTGTTAGAAGCTTTAACAATTCTTTGTAATTATTATTATTATTATTATTATTATTATTATTAAAATATTCTTTGATTTTTATATTTACTCGTATTCTTTGTACTGTTACGCTAGTGGATATAATAATTGAAATGCTTTGTATGTACTAGAGTTATGAAAAATACAAAGAAAATAGTATTGCAGACTGATGTATTTGCTTTTCTTTCATAATCATCATTAATCCTAATTTTAGGTGCTTGGATTGATGTCGGTCAAGAAGCTTATATTATAAGATTGTATTATCATAATCTTCATTTATCGATTAATAATTAAAATGTTATTTAATGCATAATCCAAGTAAAAAAAGAAGCAAAGAAGAGAAAAAGCAAACATCTGAATCTGATTCTTCTCAAACAAATAAAGAAAAATCGAATCAAATTAAAAAACATTTTATATGGATACTACATTTCCAAATATGGCAAATGCATTTTTCATAGTTTTATTTTTTACGTTTCTTTTGAGTGGAACAATTATCATGAGGTATAATCGATAATAAATTGTCAACAATAACCGCTCGTGTATCAAATGAATTATCAGTCTTCAGCATTTCGAAACAATGATTTCGAAATTTTTCATTTGTACTGTGCTTGATGATTTCACTTAGTGCATCGCTTAATATTTCACAAGATTTGATATTTTTATTAGATTGACTAAAACTGTTACACGCCATGCTTGAGTTTATCGAATCAACAAGAGGCTGCACCGAGACTGCCGAAAGATTTCCTGGAACAATGTCAATATAAAAAATATAAATTTCATAATTCGATGGATAATTGATTTTTTGTATGCCGGATGTGTGCGCATGGACTATAGCAGAGATGGCGAACCTATGGCACGCATGCCACAGGTGGCACGCAAGAAAATTTTGTGCATACAAAAGATTTGTTAAATAAAATCAATTTTATCTTAATTTTCTTAATCGTTAAATTAAAAGTAACATTCAAACGTAATAACTTTAAAATTTGAATAAAAATTAAAATTACATTGCATTACTAATATTGTCAAAAATAATGCTGTCTTTGATTTATTAAAATTTTGTTTTTTTTTGCGGGTGTGCGATATATAATTTTTTAATTTTTTGGCACGTAAATATAAAAAGGTTTTCTTAAATATAAAATTCGTAAATATAAAAAGATTATAGAATGTATGTACGGTCTCTGCCGTATACTGACCTCTAACCGATTGTCCTTACAACTGTTGGATCGTACACACTCGACCGATAAAAGCTATCTCGAGTGTTCAACGGGCAGAGTGGCGTATCAGTATACAAACTTTTCGCTACATTCTCAGTTGCAATTGTGAACAATTATCCGTGCGAAAGGAAAAAAATATATGGTCACACGGTGAAAGTAATTTAATTCGTCGCGAACGTCAGCTATCGACTGCGAGAAACAAACGAAACGACAATAAAACGGTTGACGCTTGTGTGCGAATTGACTTTCCGTGAAAATCGCAAGAGCAACTCGAATGACAGAACAGGAGCGAGGGGACGAACCTAACCTCAAGGAGGAGCGAGCCACTCCGCCGCGCAAGATTCGTCACCGGTATGTTCCACAGTTCTACATAAGCCGTATCAGTTTCTTCACAACGAGAAAAAAAATATCTTTGGTACTTTTGTACCGGGTTAGATCGAGAGCGATGATACGGCCTGAAAGTGTCGCATTTGCACGTTTTACCACCAGCCCCGGTTCGAGCGGTGGACGAGCGGACCACGAGTCGTTGCGCGCCGCAATCGCGCGGACCAATCGCCATCATCTGTGCGTCGCCTGACATTCCGCTCAGCCAATCGCCGTCTTTTTTTTCATTTTTTTGACAATTGCGTTAAATCTGCAAACTACATATGCAATTGTTACGTGATGTACACGCACATACACATATTCGAATTACGATTCCACGGTGTATTACGATACCGAAATCTTTTCTTCGGAAAAAAAAGGAATTATTAAACAAGGTATTCTACTTTTATAGTCGGAGACAGAGAATGTCATGCCGAACTATATCGTGTATTGCGAATTTAAATCAAACGTTATTATTTTTCGATTATATATTTCCACTTTTTTTTTAAGGGAAAAACCATAAAGCAAAAACGCTAGTTGACAAATACGAAATTGAGCACACTATCATTAACGGTCCTTAACGGATACCAATGTGGTAAATGTAAATTTTGCACAAAGTACACAGGTGAGTCTTGGGAATCTTACAAACTCTCGATTCTAGTGCGAAGCTCAAACATCTACTTATAGAGATTTTGTGAGCATATCTTGTTTACCTTAATTTTTATTCAAGAACAAACTGGTTTTTATCTCGCTTAGTAATGATAATTTGACAAATACGTAAAATTCCTCTTTTTTTTCACTTACTATACGAGTGACATAAATAATTTTTTTTAATAAAACAAAAGCAGTTACTTAATAAATTTGCAATTCACAAGCGAAGTTTGCAAATTCTTGCATGAAGTGTGCGCATAAAGTGCATACTTCTTTTTGCCTATGTAATTGAAATAATTATTATAATGCATTGCAGTCCTTGAAAGCAAAGAAGTAAATACATGTGCTTTGACGTATTTCGCATTGTACATATAAATGAATGAACATTATTCTGCCTATGACGAATTCTTCTTGTTCGTACCATTTGCATAAAAATGAGCAAAGCAATAAAAAAATATTGAAATGCAGATACTAGAAGGAAGAGAGGCTGAAATGATGCACAAAAGTCAATAAAAGCTTGAAATTCTCAAGAATTGTAAGACTTAGGAGATGCACAAGTTGGTCATTGGATTCACATGAATGTAACACAAATATGAGCTGCATAGAGAATGAATGGGAAAAACATGCAAATTAACGAAACGATCGTGCCATAATCGGCTCGAAATGGCGCGATGACCCTTGAACCCACGAGCGAGCTTAGTCGTGTTTTCACGAACGATGTATGGAGCGTGTGGGACACGCATGCAACTTATTCTACTTGGACTTTACGGCGAGTCAGTACAGCGCGCGCGGTCTGCTAAATCGTCTTTGCATACCTTCATCGTGATCCTTTTCACGCGGCTGCGAGGAAACATCGCTTTGCGCTTCAACTTTCGATGTCACTCAACGTAGGGAGAAAAGTGCCAAGGTGAAGAGCGCAGCTGGTATGCTACACCGTCTTCTGGACTCCTTGTTCGGTATTTTCCGTAATTCGTATCACCTAAATATCCATATGCACCGTGTCTCCGACTCTGTACCGCACCTGTACTTCTCATTTTAAATCGCGAGTAGTTCACAGTGTATTACTCTTTTTTCTTCTTCCTTTATCTCTCGAGCTCTTTTCATTGCGCGCGAGCGTTTAAAGGCTATTTCTTCGTTGCCTGCCTGAAGAGCTCTGTTTCCACACGGTAACGCGATCCTCTGGGTGAGTAGCAAGCTTTTCGAAGCGCCCTTTAGCATTATCTGTTCCAAGGAGATCGCTGCATCTAAAAAATTTCTTGTAATTCTCTCTCTCTTCATACGATCGATTTTAATTCGAACATATCGGCCGAATACACGCGAATATATTTTTGAAGGTAACATCGAACACGCGGAGAGCACGCGGAGCGATTCCGATTCGGCGGGATCCAGTAAGGAGATCGTCCACTGTGTTGCTTCTTCGAGGTCTGCTCGAGTGAAAGAGATGTCGGAGACGGTGAGCTTTGTCGTCGGGGAGCCCGAGCCCGATCCTGATCCCGGTCCTGATCCTAACGAGGTGCAGGAGATCGAGGATATCTTCCCAAGCGAAGGAAGCGATAATGCCAATTCGCACGTGCAGACGAATGTCGCGCCAGGACTGGTAGAACGCCGTAAGCGTCTCAGGTGATTGTTTTCGTCATTTGGTATCACGAGCAAAAGCAGATTTGATTCAGACACCCTTCCGAATAAAAGAGACTTTCGCTTATTTTACAAATCTCATCGATTACTCCCACCAACAGGCGCGATTCGCCCGTTTACGGGCGGTAGAAATTTTAAGCAACAGAGTGATATTGCGAAAAATTTGTAAACTCACACATGTATGTATATGTAAACGCGAGTCTTACCTCGCACCGCTACGTTTACGATGCGAGGAGGGGAGGACTATGTAACCTTTTTCACCTCCTTAACAATGAGCATTCGAATATTCAAACAGGCTTCCAAGTAAACACGATTACCACATTCAGCAAAAGTGAGTCTTTCAGCTTCAAACATTTTATGCGTTGCTATTTCAAGTTGTTATCAAGAACGTGGAGTCGCGGTTAACCGCAAGAGATATTCAAGCGCACCATATTATTCCTTTTCCGAACATATTACGCGAATTGCAAACGTCGCAAATTTAATTTGACCTTACACGGTTATCGGTTCGAGAGATACTTTTCATCGACTGATAACTGAATGGCGATCGTTACTTTTTTTGTACTCAATCACGTGCAATCACATATCAGTATTATAAGTTACATAAGCTTGCGAATGAAATAAATAGAACACACGATTTTTGATAACTGGCATACTCAATTCTTTGTTAAAAAAAGACAAAATTTAATAAAAACTTGTTTTTCTTCAATCCAATAGCGTATATAATATTGCGAATAAAAAATACATTTATTTTATATATATTTTAGGCTTTGTTTTGTAAATTAGAAATTTTTATATTTATTCCTTTAAATAACGACAATATAATTTAGAAAAGAACGAAGAAATCGATCTATGAAAAGGTTAATGACTTTTAAATTCTTTTTTAACGCATAAAATGATGACGATTGCATTTATTCAATATACAAATATGCTTAATAAGCAAATTTCGAAATATTCTATAATTGCACGATAATCAATGGTACAAATACATGATTAAATTATCTTGTGCGGCAGTAATAAGATAAAAAACTACTGCATATTAAAGCGTGTAAGAAAAATGTATCTACGTATCTTAAAAGGATAAATATTTATGCAATTTTTGCGCGAAGAGGAAAAAGAATATACAATTAGTTATTTAACGTCACCATTTTTTTTTTTCGTTTTTTTTTTACTCGTTTCGAGAATGCACACATTTATTTTTTAAGACACCTTTTTGTATGAAAAATTGAAACGATCTTAGTGGCACATTTGTCTTCTTATGTATCGCGTATGAAACAGGTGGGGAACTCCTCATGTTGAGAAAAGAAAGTCATTCGAATAACCGGTAAGAAACTCGTATTCTTTAGTGGACACTCGTCTTTCTAACTGAACGGTCAACGCGGCGAGTACTTTCGTTCGCTTCTCTTTCTTTCTAATTTTTCATAGAAAGTCGAATTTTGCAATCCGAAGTGCCTGTAGAGTGCCGTACACGCGCGTGTTAATGTGACATGAAAATATCTTTCATTTGACTTTAACAATAATTACTGCTACGAGGATAACGTATCATCTTGCATTTTTATTTGCATTTGCGTCAACTTATCGCAGCTCTATTACCATTGTAATACTTTACATAACTTAAAAGAATACTATTTCATTTTCCTTTTTTTCGTTCCTCGTATATGTCGTGTCTGTCGTTGAAGCGAAACTATCTGTTCATTTGTTTTGCTTATTTTATCACTTTTTATTGTGTCTATATTTTTTTGGACTTGGAAAAGATTTATTTATTTGTAATGCAATATAAAGTGATAATATTTTATAATGATATGCACAACAGCAATGTCGCGCATAATAATGTCCAACAAATAACGTTATAATTTGCAGAATTATTTATGCATTGAGATTACGAATTATGATTAATTAGACATCGTCATACTTGATATAAGTGCAAAAGTAAAATTATAATAATTAAAAATTCGAAACAAGCCGACAATTGTGCGTGAAGTTATTCAACTACTATCCTGGATTTCGCAGCTGCGTGTCTTTATCCATTCGTGGCGCTTTTGGCGAACATTGGGATTGGTTTTACCGGGAATCGTGTGATGAAACGGATAAAAAGATTCGTCTTGGCAGAAAATGGAGAGAAGGATCCAAATTCGAGGAAGAAATCGGATTCATGGATGCATGTCTCTAAAATAGGCATGGTGAAGAACGGCAGAAATAATTCCAAATCCGAAGAACAAGGCATGGATGAATCACGAATGTCAACTTTAGGATTTATGTAATCCATGTTTTTAGAAAGTTTTGTTACCTTACATAATCTTACATTTTATTTTGCGATTAATCTTGCGCAGAATTGCAAATGTTACATACGAACGTCAGACCGACATTGTCAATCCTGGATATGCATCAAGTGAGCTTCGAAAAAACAAATTAATTGATACTACAAAAAAAATGATCGATGATCAAAGTATAAATGACTGCAATTAATCGAAAAAATGCAAATAAGTGTCGATAAACACTTGTAACAGTTTTTTTGCAAATTTTTTGCAAATACACTATTATTTTAATACTGAACGAATGTATTTTAATTAAGATGTGCGAATATTATAAATATACGTTATTTCATAGCGTAAATGATGGGATTGAGTTCGAGTAGGAAATTACAGTGAGAAAAATCGAGCAAGTTGAAATATCAGCATCGTAATATTACCAACTAGATTTCGTCGCAGCGCTATAAACTGTCTAATCGATTCAAAAAAGATACGTTATTTTCTTGTACGTTTTCTTTGGACGATGGGTTGACGATACGAGATGTTTTTGCTCGTTACATGCGGAAGTTGTGCAATATACAAATTGTGAAAAATATACACGCGATTATTAAATAATAATATAAATAGCTGACAAACAAAATATTCATAAACGTGTGATTCGACAGGCCCAGCATGTCGCAGGGTACGGTGATGATTCAAGCGCAGAATCGGTTGCAAGAAAAGGACTTCACCGTCGCTACACCCGAAGAATTTGTCCATCGCTTTGGAGGCACCCGAGTCATCAACAAGGTAAATAATGCGATAGACAGAGAACTGTAAATATCCAAGTAGCATCTAATGCGGTTTATGACTTTAACAAAAATGATCAAGATCGACCTTCAATAAAGAATCTGGTGTTGCTTTCAGGTGCTGATCGCCAACAATGGTATCGCGGCAGTAAAATGTATGCGATCGATACGACGATGGTCGTACGAGATGTTTAAAAACGAGAGAGCCGTGCGTTTCGTCGTGATGGTTACGCCGGAAGATTTAAAAGCGAATGCGGAGTACATCAAAATGGCAGATCAGTACGTGCCTGTATCCGGCGGGACCAACAACAACAATTACGCTAACGTGGAACTGATCGTCGATATCGCGATACGTACTCAAGTCCACGCAGTTTGGGCCGGATGGGGCCACGCTTCGGAAAATCCTAAGCTTCCGGAACTGCTCCACAAAAATAACATCTGCTTTATTGGTATTGAAAAAAAAAAGAAAAATATAAAAAAAAGTTGGATTAACGAAATAAAGAAAGAAAGATAAAATCGTCGCGGCAAGTTTCCACGGGATTTTAATATTCACGCACTTTGTAATACTCGCGCATTTTTCCCACTGATACGCTTTTGCATTTTAACATTTTTATATCCTTCGACAGGACCATCCGAAAAAGCCATGTGGGCTTTGGGTGACAAAATCGCATCTAGCATCGTCGCACAAACCGCGGATGTGCCGACCCTTCCTTGGTCGGGATCGGAATTGAAAGCGCATTATAACGGGAAAAAGATCAAGATATCGTCGGAACTTTTTAAAAAAGGATGCGTCGCCAGCGTAGAGGAGTGTCTAGCAGCTGCTAATAAAATTGGCTTTCCAATTATGGTGAAGGCGAGTGAAGGTGGCGGCGGCAAAGGAATTAGAAAGGTTGAAAACGCGGAGGAATTGCCCGCTTTATTTAGGTAAGCACTAAAGTTTCAGAAAGATTTTTGTCGCAGCACCGACCGATCCATTTTTATCAGCAAGGATTTCTAATATCTAGACAGGTGCAAACTGAAATACCCGGCTCGCCGATATTCATTATGAAGCTAGCCAAATGCGCTCGTCACTTGGAAGTGCAATTGTTGGCCGATAATTACGGTAACGCGATATCATTGTTCGGACGCGATTGCTCTATCCAAAGGAGACATCAAAAAATCATTGAGGAAGCGCCAGCCGTGATCGCCAAGTCGGAAGTTTTTGAAGAGATGGAAAAAGTATAAACATCATTAAATATGTTCTCTTGGTATTGTAGACTGCGCTGTGTTAACTGTTCACTATCGACCGACAGGCTGCTGTGAGATTAGCAAAAATGGTGGGATATGTCAGTGCGGGTACCGTCGAATATCTGTACGACACAGCCGGCCGATATTACTTCTTGGAGTTGAATCCTCGTCTGCAAGTGGAGCATCCTTGCACCGAAATGGTGTCGGATGTGAACTTGCCCGCGGCCCAATTGCAGATAGCTATGGGTTTACCGTTACACCACATCAAAGATATACGTCTGCTGTACGGTGAAAGTCCGTGGGGCGACAACTCGATCGATTTCGATCAGCCGCGTCACAAGCCGCAGCCGTGGGGCCACGTTATTGCGGCTAGAATTACCAGCGAGAATCCCGATGAAGGTGAGACTGCTTTCTACCGTGCGCGCAGTTCTGCAGATCAATCGTAACTCGCTGTTTGAATTGCAGGCTTCAAGCCGAGTTCGGGCACGGTGCAGGAGCTGAATTTTCGATCGTCGAAAAACGTGTGGGGCTATTTCTCGGTCGGAGCTGCGGGAGGACTTCACGAGTTCGCGGACTCTCAGTTCGGCCATTGCTTCTCGTGGGGTGAAGATCGGAATCAAGCTAGAGAAAATTTGGTCGTAGCCTTGAAGGAATTGAGTATTAGGGGCGATTTTCGAACAACGGTCGAATATCTCATCACTTTGCTGGAGACTGAATCCTTCCAACAGAATAACATAGACACGGCTTGGCTCGATTTGCTGATCGCCGAGCGTGTTCGGAGCGACAAACCGGACGTCTTGCTAGCCGTCACCTGCGGAGCGCTTCACATTGGCGACAGAACGATCACGGCTGCTTTCACTGGATTTCAGACGGCCCTGGAAAAAGGCCAAATACAGGCTAGCAACGATTTAGATAACGTCGTTGATGTAAGTCTTTACGTCATCCGATTAACGTTTTTCTCACGAAGAAGATATAATTGGCGCTAATATAATATTGGGTTGGCAAATAAGTTCGTTCGGTTTTTGGTTGGTACTGCTCGCAATGCCGATTTCACTCTTTTCCTTTCGGTGCTACATTGTAACTCATTTCGGCATTTGAAAGGTTATCTTTTACGTAAATTTTTCATAAAGTTTGGTTGTGCTAACATTGGTATTGTGTGTGCTCGGTGCTTGTAAAATGGAAGTGGACAAAGTGCATTATCGTCATATTTTGCTATTTTACTATTTCCAAAAAGGCAAGCGAGCTGCGGATGCTCATAAAAAAATATGCCGTGTGTAGGGGACGATGCCCTAACAGAACGCGCACGCCAAAAATGGTTTGCCAAATTCCGTTCTGGAAATTTTTTTAGGAGATTTGATCGCCCCACTGAGATTAATTCGGATGACATCACGGCCTTCGTCGATAATAATCCATCCCAATCGGTGCGAGAGATTGCTACAGCACTCAATAGATCCCACACAAGTGTTGAAAATCATTTGCGCAATAAATGTGTTATATTTCGTTATAAAAAAACCGAACGAACTTATTTGCCAGCCCAATACATTGCGGAATACACGCTTATGCTGAAAAACTTGTATCATGTATTATTGCAGATAGAGCTTATTAACGATGGATTCAAGTACAGAGTACAAGCTGCCAAATCCGGCCCCAATAGCTATTTCCTTGTGATGAACGGTTCTTACAAGGAGGTTGAGGTGCACCGCATGTCGGACGGAGGGTTGCTGCTTTCGCTGGACGGCGCCAGTTTCACGACCTACATGCGGGAGGAGGTGGACCGTTATAGAATCGTCATTGGAAACCAGACGTGTATTTTCGAGAAGGACAACGATCCGTCCTTGCTGAGGTCGCCGTCAGCCGGCAAATTGATAAATTTCCTGGTCGAGGACGGCGGCCACGTGGGCGCTGGCCAGGCATACGCCGAAATCGAGGTGATGAAAATGGTGATGACCGTTACCGCCAGTGAGGCGGGCAGCGTCTTCTACGTGAAGAGACCCGGCGCGATATTGGAAGCCGGCACGATGATCGCCCATCTCGAGCTAGACGATCCTTCGTTGGTGACGAAGGCGCAGGAATACACGGGACAGTTTCCCGCGCCAGTGGCGCCTGCCGTACCGGAGAAGCTCAATCACCTTCACGCCAAGTATCGGAACGCTTTGGAAAATACACTGGCCGGCTACTGTTTACCGGATCTGTATCATCTGCCGCGTCTGCGGGAGTTGATCGAGAAGTTCATGTGCTCGTTGCGCGATCCGAATTTGCCGCTGCTGGAACTGCAGGAGGTGATTGCGACGATATCCGGCCGAATTCCCGTCTCGGTGGAGAAAAAGATTCGCAAGCTAATGTCTCTGTACGAGCGCAACATCACGTCGATCTTGGCGCAATTCCCCAGCCAGCAGATTGCAGCCGTGATCGACGGACACGCAGCGACTCTGTCCAAGAGAGCCGAGCGAGACGTCTTCTTCCTGACCACTCAAGCCATAGTGCAGCTGGTGCAGAGATATCGGAACGGTATACGCGGCCGAATGAAGACCGCCGTGCACGAGCTCCTCCGGCAATATTACACAGTCGAGAGCCAATTTCAACAGGGTCACTACGACAAGTGCGTTTCTGCGCTGATAACAAAATACAAGGACGATGTGGCGACTGTGACCGGCATGATCTTCAGTCATAATCAAGTGACGAAGAAGAACGTTCTGGTCACTATGCTGATCGATCATCTGTGGGCGAACGAGCCCGGCCTCACCGACGAGCTCTCGAGCACCCTGACGGAACTGACCAGTCTGAATCGTACGGAGCACAGTCGCGTGGCGTTGAGAGCCCGACAGGTGTTGATCGCCGCCCATCAACCCGCCTACGAGCTCAGGCACAATCAGATGGAGTCCATATTTCTCTCCGCGGTGGATATGTACGGGCACGACTTCCATCCGGAGAATCTGCAGAAACTCATTCTTTCGGAAACGTCCATCTTCGACATACTTCACGATTTCTTCTATCACTCCAATCGCGCGGTGTGCAACGCGGCCTTGGAAGTCTACGTGCGGCGTGCTTACATCAGCTACGATCTCACGTGTCTGCAGCACTTGGAGCTGTCCGGCGAGATCCCGTTGGTTTACTTCCAGTTCGTTTTGCCCAGCAATCATCCCAATCGCCAGAATCAGTCGTTGGTGGATCACAGAGCCGGCGCGATGGCGGCCTTTCAGGATCTCGACGAGTTCAGCCAGTACACAGACGAGATTTTGGATTTGTTGGAGGATCTGTCGAGCCCCACGCCAGTAGTGTGCGCGAAACTGTTGGAGGCGGTGGAGGCCGGTGGCAGCGAGTCGCGGCATAGCACGTCGATCAACGTATCGTTGAGCACGGGGGAGGCGACAGCGGCGGCGGCGGCCGCGACGGCGGCCGCGACCAACAAGTCCATCGAGCCGGTTCACATACTGAGCATCGCGGTCAGAGAGAACGGCACCGAGGACGATGCCACGATGGCGAGACTGTTCGGAGATTGGTGCGCGAACAACAAGGAGGAGCTGATATCCCGCGGCATTCGAAGGGTGACATTTGCCGCCCTCAAGAGAAGATACTTCCCCAAGTTCTTTACATTCCGTCAGCGAGACGGCTTCGTCGAGGACCGAATTTATCGGCATCTCGAGCCCGGTTGCGCCTTCCAATTGGAATTAAATCGCATGCGAACGTACGATCTCGAGGCTCTTCCGACTTCCAATCAGAAGATGCATCTGTATCTCGGCCAGGCGAAGGTCGCCAAGGGTCAGCAGGTCACGGATTATCGCTTCTTTATTCGCTCGATCATACGACACTCCGATCTCATCACGAAGGAGGCCAGCTTCGATTATCTTCACAACGAGGGCGAGCGCGTTCTGCTCGAGGCCATGGACGAGCTGGAGGTCGCGTTCTCGCATCCCCTCGCCAAGCGCACCGAATGTAATCACATTTTCCTGAACTTTGTGCCGACGGTCATCATGGATCCCAGCAGGATAGAGGAGAGCGTGACCAGTATGGTGCTGCGATACGGGCCGAGATTGTGGAAGTTGCACGTCCGACAGGCGGAGATCAAGATGACGATTCGGCCGGCGCCGGGAAAGCCGACCTCGAACGTGCGCCTATGCATCGCGAACGACAGCGGATACAGCATCGATTTGCATCTCTACACGGAGGCCACCGATCCGAAAACGGGCATTATTCGCTTCGAGTCTTATCCGCCGGTGGCGGCGAACGCGGCGAACTGGAGGCCGGGTCCGATGCACGGACTTCCGATCTCTACGCCGTATTTGACCAAAGACTATCTTCAAGCTAAGAGATTCCAGGCGCAGAGTGCCGGCACGACTTACGTCTACGATTTGCCGGACATGTTTCGACAGCAAGTCGAGAAACTGTGGCAGAGGCACATCGAGGAGAGACCGCTGAGCGCCGAGGGTCAGAACTCGATCGCGATTCCCAACCCGGTGATGGACGTCGTCGAATTGGTGTTGGAGGCGGAACAATTGGTCGAGCAGAAGCGACTGCCGGGCGAGAACGACGTCGGCATGGTCGCGTGGCGATTGACCTTGTACACACCGGAGTGCCCGAACGGCAGAGATGTCATACTCATCGCCAACGATTTAACGTACTTGTTAGGCTCGTTCGGGCCACGCGAAGATTTGCTGTTTTGCAGAGCTTCCGAGAGGGCGAGATCGCTCGGGTGTCCGCGCATATATTTCTCGGCCAATTCCGGAGCTCGTATCGGTCTGGCCGAGGAGGTGAAGGCCCACTTCAGGATCGCGTGGGAGGACGAGAACGAGCCGGAGAAGGGCTTCAAATATATCTACCTCACGCCGGACGATTACGCGCGCCTGGCGCCCCTCAACTCGGTGAAGGCGTCGCTGATCGAGGATCCCGCGGGCGAATCTCGTTACAAGATCACGGATATCATCGGCAAGGACGACGGTATAGGAGTGGAGAATTTAAAGTACGCCGGTCTGATCGCGGGCGAAACGTCGAGAGCCTACAGCGAGATAATCACCATCTCCATAGTGTCGTGCCGCGCGATCGGTATCGGCGCTTATCTACTGCGTCTCGGCCAACGGGTGATCCAGATTGAAAATTCGCACATCATTCTGACCGGTTACAGGGCGTTGAACGCTGTGCTAGGTCGCGAGGTTTACGCCAGCAACAACCAGCTGGGCGGCACACAGATTATGCACAACAACGGCGTGTCCCACGCGATCGACGCGCGGGATTTGGACGCGGTGGCGACCGCCTTGAACTGGCTCAGTTATTTCCCTAAAAGCAAAGGGGCACCGCTGCCGATTTTACCGTCGATTACAGACCCGATCGACCGGGAGATCACTTACATGCCTACAAAAACGGCGTATGATCCCAGATGGATGCTGGAAGGCAGAAACTGCACCGAAACGAATGTTTGGGAGAGCGGATTCTTCGACCGAGGCTCTTGGCACGTGAGTTTCATTTTGATTTCTTTCGCCTTTACATCGAGCACAGCTGATTAACTGCCTTTCTTCCGTTTGCATAGGAAATCATGGGACCATGGGCGCAGACGGTGGTGACGGGACGAGCTAGACTCGGCGGTATACCGTGCGGCGTTATCGCCGTGGAAACGAGAACCGTCGAGCTGCATTTACCAGCCGATCCTGCCAATTTAGATTCGGAGGCTAAGACCATATCTCAGGCAGGTCAGGTTTGGTTCCCCGACAGCGCGTACAAAACGGCGCAAGCTATTCAGGATTTCGGCAAGGAGGAATTGCCGTTGTTCATCTTCGCCAATTGGAGAGGCTTTTCCGGAGGCATGAAGGGTGAGTGGGGTCGATTGCTCCATTATTGCGCGAATAATCCGCGAATTTGTAGCGTAAATCACAGCTGCTTCGTTACTTTTGTCCACAGATATGTACGAGCAAATTGTCAAGTTCGGCGCGTACATCGTGGATGGCTTGCGGCAATACTCGAAGCCAGTATTCGTTTATATTCCGCCGAACGGCGAGCTCAGGGGTGGCGCTTGGGCAGTCGTGGATCCTACGATAAATCCTCGATTTATGGAGATGTTTGCTGAAAATACCAGCAGAGGTGGCATTTTGGAAGCTGACGCAATTGTAGAGATTAAATTCCGAACCAAAGATATATTAAAGACTATGCACAGGATCGATCCGATCATACATCAGTTAAAAGTACAGTGATTTCTTTCTATTTTGTTGATTCAAACTTCTGACGTATGTTTTTGTAACGCGTGTATATGTGTTTTCAGGAGAAATTGTCGACCGCAAGCACGGAGGAACGAACTGAGCTTGAAGCGCAGATTCGAAAGCGCGAGCAACTTTTGGAGCCCATGTATCGTCAAGCTGCCGTTCACTTCGCCGATCTGCACGACACGCCGGAGAGAATGTTTGAGAAAAATACGATTCAAGAGATAATACCGTGGAAAAAGGCACGGCCGCTGTTTTATTGGCGACTACGACGAAGACTCCTGGAGGAAGAAATTAAAGACGAAATTTTATCGACGCAACCTAATCTCGACGTTCGGCAAGTAGGAGCGATGCTACGACGCTGGTTTATCGAGGATAAAGGAGCAACGGAATCCTATTTGTGGGATCAAGACGAGGCTACGGCTTACTGGCTAGAAGCGCAACGTAAAACCGACGACAGTGTCTTATCGCGTAACATAACGTGCGTGAAAAGAGACGCGGTGGTGACGCGTATCAAAGAGGCTCTGGAAGTTTGCCCGGAAGTAAGATTGGACGCGGTGTTGGAAATTGTGCACAGATTGCAGCCGACTGAACGGGCGGAGTTGCAAAGAACTTTATCACAGTTAGAGACAACTGGACAGGAACACCACAAGGATTCGTCCTGAATGTATTTGCGTAAGCGTCCCCTGCTCCGTGCTGTACATTCCAGACAATTAATATTAAATGCACATCAATAGTACAATTCGCTAATAGTAATTATTCATGTAACATCTAAATATCCTGGTTAAAAGAAGTTAATAATTAAGTAGTCAGTTATTTTGAATAATGTTTTGAAAAGTTTTAGCTTGCCAAACTTTGTAGCCGCGACCAAAGTGGAACGATCTCACTTTAACATCTGACAAGAATCTCAACAAGTTATCAAGTTAAAAGTTTGAGAGATTTGGAAAAAAAAAACTATCTTATCAGTTTGTTAAAGGAGTTTGTCTCAAATTCCTAATATTAAAATATTCTAAATATAAATAAGATAATATTGTAAAAATAAATATATTTAAAGAAATGTCATTGTATCTTTCGACAAAAGTTAAATTGATTCTTCCTAAAGAAAGATGTACTAAAAGAACAGTGTTTCTTGGTCATAGTTTTCGAACTTGTAATGAACGAATTTTGATCGACCCAAGGTTAATTAATTACGCCATTGTATCGTCTTTACCAATAAGACTTGAATTTATAGTAAAATAATCATTAATTGATCCAGGATGGATGAAAATTCGTTCACTCGAAAACGTTATTAGATAGAAATTAAACATATTTTCCTAATCAATCGTAAGTTTAAAGATAAATTTCTATTAAAATAAATGACAGATTAATTAATCTACACAAGTGATGTCTGTATTTATTTATAACAATATGCCGCTTTAATAAATCATTTTTTAATTTACAATTTTTTATAACTTAAGTTATATGTATAACTTAACTATTTTCCCACATTTAGCAATTTTGTACATATTTGTAAGAACATGTACGCATTTGTTTGCGGCATTTTGTATATAAATTACACACCTACACATGTGCGTAGGTATATACACACACACACGATTTTTTATTTTTTCAATAAGAACATACCATTATTATATATATAAACAATATATTCGCGCAACTGCCATATATATTAAAAAATTACTACACTATTTTAATGATGTGACAAAAGCACAACTTATGTATAACATTCTATATTTATCTACATTTTCTTCTTTGCATTTTGCAAAAGTTGTTCTTTCTTCTACTTTATCACATATGTTTGTTTATTAACGGAAAACTTATGAAATATCGATTTATTTATGTTAATCAACGTTATATATAGTTCTTCTTTCGCATCATCACATTGTAACAGTTCGTACAATTTTTTGATAATTATTATCTATGAAAATTGTACAACCATGATTGTTCTCCAGCAGAGGACACAAGTTGACACAAATCGACACAAGTATCACCCTATCTTTGTTCGATATTCAATGAGCAACAAAGAGAATAATACTTTTGTGTCTCTTGGTGGAAAACTACCTATATATATTCAAGGAAGCTTATAAAAAAATTACAAACTAATTTCGAGTCTACACAAGAGACATATCCTCAAAAAACTGGTATTTGACTACGATGAACATCCGTTAGATCATCATCTAAAGTAAGCAACACCATAAACGAAAAGAACATTGCTAATGCCGAAAGAAAATGCCAAATGTCGTGAGAATCAAAAAAGTTCAGCAATTCGCAAGGTCTATTATACAAGCGAGATTGGGCTGGCGTGAGAGCCCAAGATATTGTTTTATTCACGAAAAAGTACAAGGCTGCGCCCCAAAATAGCACGGATAGGAAGATATGAATCGCAGGTGTGGAAAGAATCCGTTCTCTGTGGCAAAGCTGGAAGCAAGATCTTTATATTAATACACATCGAAAGTCATTTTCATTTGTCATCAACGTCAGAAAATACGTACCTTCATCACTATATAAAAGAGGGTGTACAAAATTAAGTTAGACATTAATATAGCTAATAAAAATGTAGCAAAATTGTCTTCGTGATACATATTTCCAAACACGGCAAGTGCAACGTTACATAAATTTGCTATCACGAGCATTATAAATCTTGCGAGATAAAGCGGCCGAATTAAATGCCATATGCCGCAGCGTGCATCGTGTTTGAATGTCTGCAAGATAATAGAATGAACGTATTAACTATACATTAGTATACTGCGCGGTAGAATATATTAGATATAGACACATACTTGTATCAGTCTGTTAAAAACGCCTCTATTAAATTTACATCGCCCCATGTAATATATTTGTACAGTCAGAATGAAGCATATCAGCAAGTGTAAGATGCTAAACACGATCCAAAAGTAGTTAGAGCCATTCAAAACTCCGATCAGTCCCACAAATATTACAAGAGCAAGAATTCCGAATGTCACTGGTGCCCTGGCGTTTATATCGGGATGACGATTTTGATAAATCTTGATCATGCAGAGCACCGCAATTATGTACATAAAACTAGTGTCTGTAGAGAAGCAGAGAATGATTATTGATTAACGGAGAAAGATGAGCGAGAGATATGAAAGAAAATCGTGGAAAATATACTTTTGCAATTATTGCTACGTACCGAACTGGAAGTTGCTGTGATTAGGACATACGTGATAACACGCCGATAATATGCCTTCCATTATCAATGCTGTACCCATCGCATAGAATAAACCGTAATGTTGTGGTATGCCGTAACATTTAGTTTTCTCTTTATCCGGTTCGTTGTGTTCTCGAGAATAAGTTAGAAATATAAATAGCAAGCCCAACATGATGTACCCGAAATTCGAGAATACATGATTGAAATCGGACAGCAGACTCAGTGGATGGGCGCACAAAAAATTGTAATAGCACATATCTTGGTTTCCGGTTGTGTGCAGCACACGCTGATATATTACCGCCAATTGAACAACCGGCAGCGTGTAGAATACGGCAACAGTCACCAAATAATATAAATATAAGCGAGATTTGTGCCGCAATATTCTCGGCTCCTTGCGCGCGAGATCGCAAACCGAGAGAACGAGTTTTGTGCGTACTACATCTTTGTCGGAGAGAGCATCCTCCATTAGATCTATATCATCCTCGTCCAGAGACGAATCTTCTTCCACGGAGTCCCATTGTTTCGGACCGATCTGACGAAATATTTTAATATTGTAATTATTGTTTTTAATTCATGAATATATTTTGGAAGTTTACTAAAGATACAAGACCGCCTATTTATATACTACATCTTATTAGTATTTAAATGATTACCTCTCCTATCGTCGAAGGACTCGGTGCATATTCATTAATATCTTGACTGTCATTTATGACCTCTTGTTCAAATCTTCTGCCTTCTCTGATATTGAATATTATTACAGTCACTATATAAGAAATACAAAAAGCTATTATAATCGCAGCCGCTGATCCTGATGCAACAATATAATCCCATTTTGTGATAGTAGGATTTATAATTAAGGTAACATTTTTGGTGCGAAGGAGATTATTGCCGGGAACACCACTGCAGTCAGTGTCATCCTCTTTAACAACGAGTATGACAAAGAATCCTAATGGATAAGCTTCTTTCTGGAACAAACCATATTCATTTTGTGTTATTTGTGCACATATAAAATATGCCAATCGCCTATTATCAATTGTTATACGTAGTATTACGACACTCACCGGTACTGTGATACCTCCTTTTCTACTTACGGTCTGCCAATGTCCAGAAAACTCAATATTTCGTTCCAAATCAAATACAGGACACTAAAAGAAAAAATAGAGATTCAGAACTTGCTTACTTTTATTGGAAATTATCATTACAACTCACCGATGTATTTTGTATAGATACAGTCATACAGATATCATTATCTGACTCAACCTGAACGATAACTGAGGAATTTTCCGCCTGTCTAGAATATATGTAACCAAAATATATAGGTTCGGATGGAGAGATCTGGACTGTTGTTTTATTTCCAGGACTATAAGAAAAGTAAAAATTACAATACAAACGAGTAGATTTGTTTCTTAAAAAAATTTTTATCAATTTGTACATACCTCAAATAAAAGTCTTTCACTTCCACTACACTAATATTAAAGAAGATATTTTCATGACTGGCTGTAGAAATACCAACAATAACAAATTCTTCTTCATCTTTTGGTGCATATCGATAATATTTCGTCGAGCACAAAGTTCGACTAGTTTTATTATAAGTCACATATTTTAAATCTGTGCTCTCAACTAGTAAAGGTATTTGCCAAGACAAAATACCTGTTGTTTGGCGTACTACAACAATCAATGGTAAATTGTGGGTTGCATTGCTTTCTATTCTTACTCTTGCAGTTTCCAGAGATATCTATAAATATGTGTAATTCAGTTTCATTCGATAATAATGAGATGAATGCAGTTATAAATGAATTTCATCAAGACTTACATCTCTGGCAGGATATAAAAATACATATTCAATAGTAGAATTTGTGGTGTTTTGATAAGACGTTTCATATTGAGCTCGAACGACAATTGGAGAAAAAGACTGAGTTGACGAAGGTAAAATTGCAGCTGGTACAACATCAAAAAGTAATAATGTGACAATCAACCGTAAAGCATTTTGCATCTCCATTGAATTTACTGGAAAAGAAACAAAATGTTTTAGACATTTACACAATGTATATATGCACCGTAATATGTATATCAACATATTTATATCAAAATTACGATATTAAGATTGGAATAAAGATAAAAAATTACAAGATAAATGACATGATAAAATTACCATTAGTCGTCCTTCTTTTTTCATACAACATAATTCAAGAACAGCTGATTGTTTGCTTTTGTTACTATATGCCTACCACGTATAAACCGTATGTTTCAACAAATGTTTCATCAACCATAATCTTTTGTTAAATACGTCAAAAACAATACGGTTTCTGAAACCATGTACTAAGGGATTCCCACACACACACACAATTGTCATAGTTCGCTTCGCTTTAAAATGATTTGTTAAGAAATCATTCCTGTTTTCCAATCTTTACAAAATTAATTTACTAATATTTTGTTATTAAATATACGAGTCAAGTAAGAGCCTTTGCAGAATAATTGATTTATTCAAGCAATATTTTTTTTTACTAAATCCAACGCACAATAATATAATGTACAGTACTGTGCAGGACTGTCTTGTGTCTTAAGGCCATCTACAATGCGCCGTAAATGTCCGTCGCCAGTTGCGAATGGCCGCATTCAGTACATTCAACAGTTGGACAACGTTACTAAATTTTCCGCTGAATCTCGACGTTGATTTGTTGGTTCTAAAAGTAAGAGCCAATCACGTTCAATTGCTATTAAGCGGTTTGTACTGCTGAATGCGCCAATGGCCGCGTTCAGCAGAACAACTGCTGAATTGTCGTCTAGTCATCACTTAACGTTGATTTGTTGGTTCTAAAAGTAAGAGCCAATCACGTTCGATTGCTACCAAGCGATTTGTTCTGCTGAACGCGCCCAATGTCTTCTCTTACCAGAAATAACCGCCAATTCTTCCTTCGAAACTGTTTTTTTGATCCGGTAGTTTTGAAAGAGAGCGACAATATACGCATTGGGAAAGAAATTGTTGAAACTTTCTTTTTAGCATGCAACTACAAGAAAGATGACAATTCCAAGTATGCACAATACTGTTCAAATAAAATAGAATTGCAAAATGTGAGTATATTACATTGCGATATTTTTGTAAGAGCGAAAACGAAAATAGATCTAATCGGAATAAAAGACCACATTCACAGTTTTACGTTGTTTCTGTGTACCTCTCTTGTGAATTATTTACGTCGAGTGCATAGAATTACTTCTATGTTCATCTATGTCGCTTGTCGTTTATTTCACCAATTCAGATAATAACTACAGTTACACACATATACGCAATTGATAAGATATAAGCAAATTAAAACACTCGGATTATACATATAATTATATAAATTAAGAATATTTTTATACAATAATGACATAACAAATATATAAATTTGTAATTCAAAGGCAGTATATTTAATTAAAGATATTTTATTGTATATGTAATAGATTATGTAATCGTTAATTAATAATGAACATTGATTTGTTATCACAAGTACCCTTTAGATTTCAACTCTTGCATCTTGCGAATGCTGAACAATACATATAAATCTATATCTGATCACTTTACACGATTCTCTTTGAGATCTTTCAAATTAGTAGCAAAATTAGTAGCAGCAAAATTGACAAACTTTTATTTGTGTAATATAATTAGAAGTTACTAGTAAACAAGACGGTCTCGCACAGCCGTAATAATTCAATACGTTAAGTATCAACACAGTGCTTTTTACTATAAGAATAATCTATTTACAAAACTTCTAAATATATCTGAGCAACAATTCAATATTAAATTGTCAGAAAACTATATGTATTATCTTAAATGTTTATCTCACTCTTTCCCAAGTTAAATTAAATTTTTTCAGTACGGTATATTCAGTCTGCGTAAAAACAGTACTGTACAATATTACGTACAGATCATTTACCCTTTGGTCGAACCTATTGTTACATTTACTGTAAACCGATGAGTATTATGCTTCTCAAATTCAATCTCTAACGCGAAGACCCCAAATACTGGTTCTTCGAATACCGACTGTCGGCCTTGCGACCGAGCTATAGAGGAATTTATTAATTTCGGGTTGTTGATGCAAGTTAGCTTGTAACGATTTGAGCACTGATTCCGACATCAATCCGAAAACATCTAAATACATTAGACACGGCATATGAGCTAATCTTATATACGCTGATTGTGGAATGCTGTAGCAACGGCTCAGCGATAAATGCTCAATTTTGGAAAAATTTAGTAAATGATGGACACTTAGTATTGTAAGCATAGCACAATCACTCAAGTCTAATTCTATAATATCTGGACACCTTTTTGACAAGTCTTTTATGTCTGAAATTAGAAAAAAAAGATGTAAAGTTGAAGATATCAAAATAAATAACAAACCTCAATGATTATACTTACTATCATCAGTTAGCGTTTTCCTACAGCCCGCTATATTTAGGCGCGTAATAGATGTCGGCATTGCCTTACAAAGTAAAGTCATACAGTCATTATCCAAGGAACACCATGCCATATTGAGTGAAGTTAAACTGAAACAGAAGGTGCGATGTTAGAAACACAAATTGTGAAACTTGCGTTTGCACATACGTAGACAAATAATTTTACCTTTCAAGCTTCATTACATCATGAATACACTGAATATCTAAATTTTCGCACATTGTTAGATTCAAGACTTTTAATTCGGTATTTTCACTAATAGCTTTACAACAGTCTCTATTTAATATACATTTCTCCAATGACAACTTTTTCAGATATTTACATTTGGATAATAGCACAGCTAAACCAATCGGCGATATAACAGCCATAGATAAATCCAAATATTGTAATTTACTGATGTAAGAGCCATTGAGAACTTGACTGCCCATAGAAAAGACAGAATCTGCAATTTCCGCTTGTGCCAGTCTTAGAATTTGTACCCCTCGTGGCAATATATGCCCTAATGTGCCTTCGCCTAAAACTTTACTACCCAAGTCTAATCTAGTCCATAATACTTCATCACGAGCTATTTGACACCAACGTTTGCATACCAACATGGCGCGTACCTGGCAGGCAAAACAAATAATTTATATAAATGATTAGTGAAACATGATATATATATATAAATTTTCCAGATTAAAGCATTTAATATTTTTTATATTCTTCTTACCAAACATTTTTTAGGTAACCATTTTAATATCATCAAAATGATTTCATCCGACAATTTGTTAAACTTGTCTTCACCATCAATGGAAGGTTTTCTTTTTCTTCGAAATAAGCAAAATTGATCTAAACAAGCTTGTTCATTCTTATCGATGGAAGTATTCATGTTTCCCTTGACAAAATTTTCTTTTAGATCCCCAAAATGATCAGCTTCTACTCTTGATGAATAGCCAGATTCATTCTCTATGTCGCCAAACACGTTTAGATCATATAAATCAGAGGGGTCTTTTTGTGTTCTGTAAAATGATAAATTAAAAATAATGAAAGATATTTAACTTAAATTTCTAAAATAATTTTTTTTCATCACAAACCTCTTTGTATTAACAATTTCCAAATCAGGACTCGTATAAACTTCCTCTTGATATTCAAAGCCAATAGTTTTATTTGTCAACAATCTTTTGTTATGATCTAAACTTATTGGCAACACTGTACAATCTTCAGATTCTAACGTTTTTGTATTTTTACAGTTTCTTTCATCTTCTAACATACCAACACCCATATCTTCTAAAATTTCCGGTTCTACAAGACTGGCAGTTCCAGAATATGACCATCTTGTATTACTTTGAGACCCACTGTCAAAGCTACTATTTAGAATGTTATTACAATCATTATCCAAGCATAATCGTTTGCTGTAAACATAGAGAATTATATTATATTTTCACGCAAATAATTTGTAAAACAGACAAGTTATATGATGCATCTATTTTATCAAGACCTTTTTCTCTTTCTCTAGTTATGTGTCTATGAATATGTATTTGTGTTTTTAAAAATTCTTCAAAATTTAAATATGATTATCAAATTATATCAAATTATAAATACAATACATATTCTTTATTTGCAATTCTTTATTCACACAGCACACATTTGCAGATAATGTTAATCTCACAAGTAGTTAAAGCTGTAAAAAATTTTCAATTTACTCACGAACTAAAAGAAATGTTGAAAAAATCTTTCAAAGAAATTTTTCAATGGATCTTTTAAACTCGAAAGTTTCTTAAATATTATAAATTTGCTAACGAAAACACAAGGAAAAAACCGCGGTAACCGAAAACACAGAAATTTCTCAATATCAATTTTTGGCCACAATCACAATAAAGTAAAACGGTTGGTTGCATTTCTAAGACTATTTAGAGTATCTTTTTTAATCTAGTATTTGAGGGTTGCTTTTAATTTTGCCTACGAAAAAGTTTTAGAGTAAATAAGCGCGCGCGCGGGTGAACACACCTGCCCATCCCTCAACTCGTGAAGCAACAAGTTAAAAATTCGTATGCAACCGGTAAAAAGCTCTACAAAGATTTACGCGTCACCTAATGAAATTTTGCTCACCTTTCTGGCGGAGAGAATTCCTCCGATTTTGATAAACGGCGAGTCTTTTCATGCAATCGCATGTGTTCAACCACACCAGAATTCATTTTAGGTGGGAAAAAGGGATACATTAACCTCTTCGATCACCGGCGCCGCTCTCAACCACCGATCGCTCGCAAAACAAACGCTCATTGGCGCGGCGATCGACGGTGCTGTGCTAGTAAAAAATTGGACATCTTTAGATTTTTAATCAAAAAGATAATTAACCACATTCTGCGCGTTTAAAATTTTACTTATACATTTTCAATTTTTATATTTTTTATTGCTGGCAATTGTAGAACGCAATAAAACATTTCTTAGCTGTGGAGTATTGCAGAACGCAAAGTTCTACTATATCAACCGAATTTTGACACTGTTAATAACGTCATATATTGTTAGATGGCGCAAAAATACTACGTGAAGTTGGACGCGCGACTTTTGGTTTTCTTCACCATTACGGGATGTCGCGAGTGTTGAACAAAACATCGTTTCGTGTGTTTGTAGTTTTGACGTTATTTTTCTTCATTGCAATGTTAAAATGCGTATTGAGAGTGTCGTACAAAATGCCACACAAACGAATATCATAAAGTTCACATCGAGAATGCCATACGCGCGATCGTCATAATGTGATGAGATTTGTATCGGAAGTATCATGTTGCACGATCGTTGTGATACAGTAAAGTACGTTTAATATCACGAGTTTCATAAAAATGGCGCGTAATTGCTTCACTGATTTGCAATATTGGAGTAGATTGCTAATTGATTTCCAACGCGAATATGACGATTGTCGCATTTAATTATGCTGCCAGTATTGAAAATCTATAGTGTATGTGACATGAACTATAGATTTTGAATATTGGAACGTAAAAGTACTATATCGAAGCATAGAGAATGTGTTTTTCATTAATCATCATCACGGTTTCACACTCTTTTCACATTCTTTCACGCGGGTTTCTGGGTTAGTAATATCAATAATATCTTACACACAATTGCAATCAGAATATAACTTTGATTTATCAATGATTGCCACTGAATTATAATTATTATACATCCATAATGATGACTTGATAATAACGAAGTATCATTTATTGTTTAGGATTCTTGAACTTTTGGTCCTCGGCGTAAATTTTCATCTGAAAGCTTACCAAATCCGATGTTTTCTTATGAAAATTAAATGGCGTGTTCTTCGGATGTATCCCTTTGTCGTGCCACCAACCGTAACTGGAAATCATCAAAACGGCTGATTAGAGTGTGGAGTAACTACGAAATCGGTGAGTAAGTTTCGAGAAGTAAAAGTTACGTGTGACTGGTCAATAATGGCGACTGGTACAAATTTCTCGGATTTCTATCCTGCTCCGTAGCGATTCTCTCAAGCGTGTCGCTTATGTCCGCATTCTGCGCGTCCTCGAATTCTCTTGAGTAGAATTTCGGCGTGACAAAATCCGCTGCAATGTATTCGCATTTTGCGTGCGCATTTATTCAGATCATATTACGCTCAGTTGACGGCTTTACCTTATGTGAATCGAGATCGCGTGATTTTATCGTAAACACAAATATATTAACCGCGAAAATAATATTTATTGCTAAGAAAAGAATCAGTAGAAATAATCTTACAAAACTTTATCAGAGTGTCATTAATTTTTAATAGATAACTTCGTATTTCAATTTAGAAAAAAGATTTACAAAACTAAATCACTAATAAATTTAATCAAAAAAATATAAAAATAAAGTTTTTTTAAATGTGTATATATATATATATATATATGACACATATTATTTTTCGAAATTCTATATATCAGAATGATCTAAATTTACTGTTCTCGTTCCAAATTTCTTGGCTGATTTGACTCTGATTCGATTTTGCTTTTACGACAAGTTTTATGATTGAAAAGCATTCAAAGGCTGAGACATTTCGTATGTGTGTATACCATTCGTTTTTGCCACACAAGCGTCGGATCTTCCGCTCTGCTGATTTTTCGAGAAACACAACTTAAACGGTGGCCTCTCCTTTCTTTTCGTTACTGTTACCGATCTTGAGTCGTACGAATCCGTTTGCTGCTCGGACATATTTCGTATATGCCGAAATTTCCAACGGGTCGTCCGCGTCGTTGTCACCGAGATTGCTCAACTGGGCGTCTTCGTCTTAGATTAAGTGCCGGGAACATGCGTGTGTGCGACATACGGGAGTTACCATATTTGATCAATATTGCCTGCGACGTTCAAAAGAAGCAAACTCTCTACTTCAAACAGCTTAAAGCGAAACCTTCTAAAAAAAGCACACACAGAGAGACACCGAGTTCTCTCCTCCGTGAAAATATTATTGCTCAGAGGATGCAATGGTTTGCAAATGATATTTATAAAAGCTTGAGTGTTTTACGAAAATCGCATTAAAAGAAACAATGAAATAATGCCGTGAGAAAATGAGTCTAGAAATCAGGTGTTCTTGCGTTTGCTTTTTTTTCTTCGATTAATCTTGTAATTTAATAAGTAAGATCACAGATTTCAATCCAGTAAGCGAAATATTAGTAGACAGATCGACAGTAAATTTGATCAACTTTCAATCTACCAGCGTTGCTAATATTTTGCTTACTGGGTCGAAATCTGTGATCTCACTTACTTACTGACTAAAAAGGTTATCTAAGAAAAAAAAAGCAAACGTAAGGAACAAAATGTTAGCAGTATTGGCAAATTGATAGCAAATTTAGCATTAATTCGCCAACATTGCTAACATTCAGCTGTCCGGGAAGAGAGATAATGAGCCCGATTCAATTTTTCATATTTATCTCTCTTTATTTTCGACTTTCCCCATTAATAATTCATATATTTCAGTAAAGTATACAATTAATAATAGTTAATCCGGCGCACTGATATTACAAATTCCTTGACTTTGACCATCTTCGTTTTTTTTTTTTTTTCTTATTGACCTCAACACCTCTCCTCCTCTTTATCGTCGTTACACTCGCATTGCCTCTTTACGCCTATTTGCTGGTTACACATCTCTATATACATCTTTCCGTGAATCAAGTTCTCGAGAGAAGAAATAGCCGTTTTTCGGAAAACGAAAAAGAAATATCTCGCTCTCTCGCCCTTATCTATCTTTCTCGACAAAATTTTGGTCTTGCTCTCATGCTTTCTCACTTACTCCCTCGTGTACTCAACCCCGTTCGTATAGATACAAAATACGGATAATACAAAAAGCATTTCAGAATTCTCGTATCAACTCTCGCATTATTATAGGATATTACAGCCGTTACATTCTTACGCGGTAATCGTGCCTAAGCGAAGTCACTTTGCAACTGTTGTAACGCTCGTAAATTCTTGGGACTCAGCCACTAATATAACGTTAAATTCGCTCTAACTTGCGTTTATCTCTGAGCACTATCGTCAAGTATCACGATTGCCTCTCAAGTTCTCGTATTTCATATCGTATTGTTTAAGAAACGACGCAATCAGTTTTTCAGTCCGCCGCTCTGTCAGCTTGGTAGCAGCGAGAGATGTGCTTAATGATATGAGAAAGATTACGATGTTATTACGATGATGAGTTGTACGAGTCGCTGTTATAATGAATATACCGATATAGTACAATACTGTCGTAATCAAAGATGGTATGTAGAGGTTCGAGGATCATCGTGACGACATTTCTCCTCTTTTCTTTTTTTTTTTTTTTTTTTTTGTTTTCTATACAATAGTTTCAAGATATTTCTCAACAATGCATCTCGTTAATCTCGAAACTATGTAACTGCAATTAAACATCGGAAACAGGTCAACAAGGTAGATTCTTATGCGATTGCTGGGCTGATTGATATCGACAGGACGAATTTTCTTAAGACTTTATCGCGAAGAGCGTCGCACGTCCTTATAGAAAAATACTTGAGATCTTCTCAAGGATACCGTAGAAGAAAGATTTCAGCTTCTCGATCGTTTTGCTGCGTGTACGGCAGGAAGCATGTTGCAATCGGCAGTGCTTCTTCGAAATAGGAGATTCGAGATTCTCCTCGTATCGATTTTTTTTTTTTTTTTTTTTTTTTTCGTTCCCTCAACATTGAGCCGCATGATTGGGCCTTGGTATTCGATTGTGAGTCCAATTAAAATTTATAGTATCCTCAAAACTGACGTAATATTTTTCTATAGGATATATAACCGATCTGAAAATACCCTTCAGCTTTCAACGGAGCTTTTCGTTGTCGATCGAGACTAATAAAACGCGATCGCTACTGTTCATTTAATGGAGACGAGAGTAAATCGACCAAGTCGTTTTCTTTGAAGAAGAAAGAAGAAGACCGACCCGATAGCTCAATGGTCACAAATCGATCGGGTAGACACAGTTGCATCTTTGTATTCTTATTAATTGTGTGCAAATCAAAGTTGTGGAATAGTTTCTCCTTCAGTCGTCGCGATTAATCAGAATGAATCGGATTAAAATTGAACCATGGTGAAATCAGTTTTATCTTGTCAAGTTTCTGTTCGGCTAATTAACGATAGGGAGAGCTTAGAATACAAAGATTCGACTGTACATTTCAACTGCCTGGTCACTTTCACTCGTGTACAGGGTGTTTCATAAGAAATTTAACAAGCTTCAAGTGCAATATTTTATCGGATTAACCGAGGGAAAGTTCAAAGTAGCAAACTTTTGAAAGTCGCTCGAAAAAGCTTTTCACATTTATCACGAAACACCCTGCATATTTAGATGTTAACGCGAAAAATAAAAGAATGGCGATTTGTACTTGTATATACGCTTGTGGTCGACTTGAACGTCGACGCGCAAGGACGGCGTGTATGTACAAAATTAAATACGATATCTCTTGGCGATTTTGTTGGCGTGCTTTAGAACCGCGACCATGTCGAATGTATTTCTACTGCAATTCCGAATTCAGAAATTTCTTTCGAAGTCAACGCCCCTCTAACGCGTCCGCTGACGAGGTTTTTATTCGATATGACTCAATTTTTTTTGTTTTACCTTCTACTTCTCAACAGACCTCTTCGACATGGACACGATTTTACACAAATATCTACGTCTTAGCTAATAAGACTTGTCCTCTATCTTACACTTTTACAGGTGAGACCATGAGACATTGATCTTCGAAATCTTAAGCGAAATTCTAACTTTCAAAAGTTCCACGCACACGCAATGGAATCTATTTCACTTCCAGCCAATATATTTTGTTTTCGCCTTTTTTTTCCACGGCTTACTTTATTTAATAATGATATCGGTTTTTTCCGAGAATTAAACGCGGAAGAAACTCAACATTCCTCCTTGCATATTCAGATACTCACATGCTCCCTTATATGCATCACATGACGTGACTTGTCATCTTTCTGAAAAATTGCAGTAGGACCAGATAAATCTTACTGGATGTTCTAATTTAACGATTGCGAAACAACGGCGTGAATTTGCCGTGTGCCGAACGAACACGTTTTCGTGAGAAAACAAGTTCAATGTCGAGGGATGTGTGTATCAAGGAGAGAATGTAATAAAGTGTTTTCATATTTCACTTAAAAAATATACATTTTAATCATCAATCGTGTGAAATTAATGACAAATCAGTGTGTTTTGTTTCGTTTGAAATCACGCTATTGCCGATCTGTAATAGAGATTTATGGATAATTCGAGTCATAGGAATTATTGTTGAATTGATCGAATCATATGCTTTCTTGAACGCGTTACGAGCAAGTTTTTTTACTTCCTTAAACGTTCGTACGCGATTGATTGAATCGTGGAGCGATTAACATGTCGTTTACAGGTAGAATAAGGTTTTTTGTACGTTCATAATCCAGTCTCAACATTTATATGTTTCGCTAGGCTAAACGCGCGCCACTTAAATACGAATAAAAGTACGTCGAGAAATTAGCGCCTCGTGCTCACGATATGACTTTTTTTTTTTTTAGACTTGCTCATTTATATATTTTAAAAAGATATCGCGGCAAACCAAGATTTATCGGTACGGCTAGATCTTACAGTAAAACTGAAAAGAAATTTCGATTTAGTATTTCTCTTCTTTTTCTAGGAACGTGCTGAACATTTTTGCATAAATGAACTGAAGATACGTGAGCACGTTATTAAGTGGACTTTAGCCCTTGTTCTCAACCGTCCTCTCTCTTGCTCTCGCATTCATTCGTTCACCCACTCATTCACTCGCTCAATCGCTAAACTAAAGAGTTTTCGGTTTACAAAACGTCTAATACTACGCAATAAGATATCGCACCAAACGCAAGGAATAAAAGAGAAGCTATCGCATTCCTCGATATTCCTCCTGAATAATTTTCAACGAAATCTAACGAGAACGATCGGGAATGCGATACTCTGCGGTCCCTTCTCTTTTTTTCACAATCAAGCTTTGCTTTCTCAACCGTGTCAAAAAAATATATCGTTTATGTCCTACATACAAGTGGGTATGAAAAATAAAAAATATTTTTTGGCCATTTTTCCTTTTATAACAATTTTTTTGGGATACATGGAAGAAGGGATTGTAATATGTGGGAGAGGAGCGGGATTTGAAGGTTCGGGGGAAAGATTGATTCGGACACGGGAATGTTTCGATTTCAAGGGATGCGGAAAAGGGATTCAGTTAAGAAGGCCATGAAGATATGAGAGGAGATGCGTTATGTGTGGGAGGAAAGGGATGAGAAGATAGATCGGGATAAAATTTGGGGAGTACTATCGCACTTATCGATCTTACTTTTTTTTTAGGATATATATAGGCACTATAACTACTAGATAAATCTTATTTACATTCTCCAGTTTTCTCTTGCTACTCTTCCCACATTCGATCGACATATCGATTATAAGAATAAGAAAAGTGATCGAAATCTGGCTCGCGTTGTATCACCGCACACTCTTTTCTAACGCGCGCCAATTGAACGTCGATTCGAATTTAAGCGTCACTGCTGACGATCTTGAGCACAATCGCTGTTCCGTCTTTGACAATGTCTCTCCTTATTATTTTTTTTTTTCGTCGGGAAAAGGAAAATACGCTTTCTTCGTAGATATGTATCAACCGTGGATACTACGTGACAGACGAATTTTGCAACGAAAACAGATTTGACGAAGAGTGTGCGAACAGAAGACGAAGAGAATAAAGATGCGCATCACCTCAAAATATGTGACGCGTGATTATTTTTATTAGTTTTCTCACACTTTTCTTTTCTTCAAAAAAGTGCAATGAAAATTTTGCTCTCCTTCCATTCCGCATTTCATTTTTCGTTAGGATTACTGCTCTGTGCACGTGGCGTGAACACACACACACACATACGCACTAACAATTTTTACGGTTTTCTTTTTGCAAACCGTCTCTTGACAAAAGACTTATGTGTATTATAGGGAAGAAAATGAGAATAATAATGTATGCGTTTTACATATATAACTAACCGCTGCGCTATACCGAAACTCAATCTTAGCGATCCAGCCCGTATGAAATTGCATTGTTGCAATTTCAATTTTCGGTAGATGAAATAATGCGTTGATTATTTTACTCTCACAAACAAAGTATTGAAAGTTTCGAATTCGCATTGTATGAAATACTATAATGTGAAAATATAAAAGCAAGTAATGATCTGACATCCGATCAGTATGACCCAGCGGTACCCTTATGCTACAAATTTACGACAAGGTGTCAGGTTTTCCTTTTAAAGGCTAGTAATTAGTTTCTTTCACACATCCCCTCTTCGCTCATAACCGCACGTACACGCACACATATATCTATTCGCATTTTATTATACAATCTTAACTCGTTACGCTTACAGATCTGTATATTATGGCCATTTGTATTTTTTTTCTTTTCCTTTTATATTTTTTCCTTACGCGTGCAGCATACTTCAACATTCGCTCTACTTTTATACCGTTTTATCTTATATATTAGTTAAAAAAAAAAAACAAAAAAAGAGAAGAGAAAAGCATCATTTACATTCGGGCCTATATTGAGGCTTCACCAAAACGCAAATGCCCGATACAAGAAAAATTCATTTGTCCCTTCGTTGCAAGATCCAATAGAAAGATAGCGAACAATTTGACGATTTCTTGAGTGGGCGCTTAATTGCTTAATGTAAGTCGTATCGTACGGAACTTCGCGCAAGAACTGAAAAGAAAAAAAGACGAGAGAGACAATGTTTTGAATGATAGAGAATTAATTTTTCGACCTACTATAAGTAATCAAGGAACGCAAAAAATTTTTTTATAATCTTGCGCGAAGAGGCCGATTAATGTATTAATTTTGTCCTTAAGAGAATCCGCATTGTATTGCTTTCCATATGTCTACATCGTAGCTTTCTTATTTACATGGATTTTCATATATATATATATACATATATATATATATATATATACATACATACATACATACATACATACATACATACATACATACATACATACATACATACTATACATACATACATACATACATACATACATACATACATACATACATACATACATACATACATACATACATACATACATACATACATACATACATACATACATACATACATACATACATATATATGTGTATATATATATATATATCATCTCATTCACGCGCTCTAAACACTAATCTTTATCTTATTGGTACTTACAAAGTACAAAGAAGACAGAAGTTGACAAAAGCCATATCCGCCGTGTCTTACAGCAAGCATGACTTTCTAAGAAAGTTTTCAATGATGTAATTACAATGTACAAACGCATATTACATTCGCAACCCTCCGAGGTTACACATTTTTACAAGATCTTGAAAATGAATGCTGTCGATATTAACCTCGGAGAAACCTTAGTAAACCTTATAAATAGCTTTTTACAGTTTCTCCTTCTCTTCGTCATTCTCAAATTGTATGAGTGTAATGTAGAATAACGTGCGCAGCGTTTTCTCAGCTACCTTGAGTAAAATCTGTCCACCGCATCAGCATAAAGAAGTGTATAAGAAAGAAATTCTTTTTGTGTATCTTTTTCTTTTTGCTTGAAAACACATGACGAAGCAAGAAAGTACGAATAACCGATTTCTATTGAAATCGAACTTAGAATTCGGAACGCGTGTCATTTTTTTGTGGGTTCGCGCGAAATTGCAACAAAACGAAGAAAAGCGAATAACAATCAAACAATCAGCGTTTTAAAAACGAAGAAAATTTAAGGAAAGTAAATATTTTGTAGAAAAATATAAAGCAATACCGTGGGTGGGCTTAAAACAACTTTTAGTCGATAAAACTCTACAAAAATATGTAACACCAATTTAACAAACGGTATCTCACGATTTAACAGCTGAGAAATTTTAAACAAACTAGTGGCCATTCTCTTTTTTGATCCATTTTCGCGTAACTTGTATCTTTCGAATGTTACTTTGAAATCTTGCTGACTTACGATCTATCGCGTTTTCTATATTAATCTAATATGAGCAAACTAACTCTGCACCTGCGTGAGCCGAGATACACTCACCCGTTTGCTCCGTTTGAGGATATATTATGGCTCGAATAATATTTGAAACAATATCAAAAGAACAATAAAAGGAACATCTTTTTCGCCTTGCATCGGTTGCGTCTGTAGACTATTTTATTGAAAAATATCAGCGAACAAATAAAAGTAATATTTACGTAATAGAATGTTCGTGCGTTCAGCAGCGCATCAAGTATCATGGATCGCGATTTATCTCCCTTTTTCTTTTTTTTCTTCATTTTCTTTTTTTAATTTCTTTATACATGAACGCACGTATGTGTCTCAATATATGTATACTACTACGTAACAAAGGAATAAAATTGCGTCAATTTCATCAATTGACGCACCAATGTATGTACTTCCAAATTATCCTCGGGATATTTTTTATAATGAAGTATTTGAAACTCGATATATATATATATATATTTGTGAATTTGTATTGTGTAACTATGGATGATGATACTGTGTTCCATGCGCGTGTGTGTAGCCCTTATATACTGTACAATATACAATATGACTGCGTGAGTAATGGATAACACGCAGCAAAAATTACAATGCTTGATGAAATCAGATCGCTTTTATTTCCAAGAAATAGAAAAAAAGATTTAATTGTGCGTGACGCACACTATTGAAGTCAAAATATATTTTTTTTTATGATAATAATAATAAATGACAAATATCGTCCTTGTATGCCGCAATGGAGTACTCTTCAATTCTGTTCATATCGCATTGTTATATTATAAGTTGATTAATAATTGAGATTTATCCACTAAACGAAAAGATATAAATCTTTTACTTCAACGTTATAATTTTTTTACATGTTATTTTAATAATTATGTAACATTATAACTATCGCGTTACTATTTAATGCAAAATCAATTGAATTTTCCACTGGAAATAAGAACGCAATCTGATTATCATCAAACTACTAAAAGAAAAATTTAAAACAAAAACAGCTTAGGCTATTGAAGAAAAAAAAGATGACAATATCCTTCCTTTTCGATTACTTTTTGCGGCGAATACTTTTCGATTATTATCGCTGTTGTCATTATCATAAATGATTGAGCCTGTTCTCGTTATCCGCGCAGAATCAAAGACTCGACTTACCCCTAACTTCCTAAAGCCGTTGGAAAAAGTATTGTACATCATTCGCAACCTCATGTAGCTACAAAAAGACAAGTGATACTGTAGCGAGAAAGAGTGATCGGTTTTATCTCGTTCGACGACCTCTCAGCCACTCGGAGATGCAATTACCGCTTTGCTGGTCTGACGTTCGAGTAAATCCGAGCGTGCCTTCAAACGGCGTTGCATCAGGCGGCTCTCGATCGGCGGTGACAGCCCGAACCAATTCTGCAGCGATTCCTTGCTTATGACGCGATTCTTGCCGATGATCTTGGGATCGTTGAGATCGACACTGGAACGCATGGAACACGACTTTTGACGCGTACCGTCGAACTCGCTGGAGGAATGAATTGTCAAGTGCTTGCTGTTTTCAGACAGTTCGCTGCTGGAATCAGACATATGACCGTAGGGGTGATTGTCGTCGTCGGTCGATGACGTGGACAATCTAGGCTCCCGGTTCTCTGCCAATTCCTCGAGATTTAGAGAAAAATGCTGAAGTACCACGCGATTCACAGCCATTGCGGACTCAGCAAATGCTGAGAGTTCTCTAGCGGAGTTGTTCCTCCTGGAAATACGAATTGCGCAATGATTAAAATAAATAGATCGCTAGAGGCAAAGAGATGGCGCGAAAAAAAAAAAAGATAAAAACACCTCACCTTATGATATGAGGCGTGGTAAGTGCTCGATCGCCAGTTTCGACAGAAGTCGGTCCAGGATTAATCCACGAATGTTTCAAAATACTATCAGCGCTGAGCCTCCGATGAGCTTCCTTAACGAGTAGACCTCTGATTAAATCCTTCGCGTCCTCGGAGATGCATCGCCACTCCTTATCAGGAAACTCGTATCTGCCCTCCTGAATACTGGTAAAGAGCAACTCTTGACAGGCTTGACAATTCTCCCCCCTGCCCCAGCCGCAATCGGTGCCGCAATTTCCGTAGAAAGGCGGATAGCCGCAGAGCAAAATATACATGATGACGCCGAGGCTCCATAGATCGCAACGTTTGTCATAATAATTGGCTTCGCCGATGAAAGCCTCGACCACTTCGGGCGCCATAAATTCGGCGCTGCCCACCGGCGTCAAAAGCTGCGGCGTTGCCACAGGACTAGACAACGAGTTGTTGAATTTGATACCTGATCCAAGATCGAAGTCGCATACCTTAATCGGTGTCAATTTATCCGGATACACGCACAGGAGGTTCTCAGGCTTGAGATCTCTGTGGGCAATCCCTGAAAACCACGGAACAAAATCAATGTTTCGATTCTTTATCGCTGATGCACTTAATGTAATTACTTTGTCAAAATCATTCAAATTACCTTTCTTGTGAAGAAAGTCGAGCGCGCTTGCGATCTCCTTCACGATCTGACTCGCCTCTCTCTCGGTGAAATGAATCCGTTCTTGAATTCTGTTCAATAACTGACCGCCATTGATCTTCTCGAACACGAGATAAAACTTCTCCTCGTCCTCGAAGAATTCGATCAATTGTATAATGTTCGGGTGGCCCTGGCAATGGTGAAATGTCTCGACTTCCTTAAATACTCTGGCACGCGCGTGTCCGGGAATTTTGTCGATGATCTTCACGGCGTACTCGAGATCCGTATAAAGGGATGTACAGGTCTGAACTGAGGCGTAGGCACCCTCTCCGAGAACTTCTCCGGTCAATTTGTACAGTTCTGCAACAGCAATACACAAGTTCCCTTTTTACACACTTGTCTTCTACAAATTATTCTTCTGGTTTCTCGATTGTGTACAAAACCTCCAGCAATATACTAAGCCCGAGCACACTCGCAGTTTTATTAGAAGAAAAAAAAAGGGGAGGAGGAGGAGAGTATGAAGAAATAATTCTAAGCTACACAGCGCGATACTCATTTAGCATGGAATTGCGCATCGCTCTGCGAACACATTAGCAATTACGTTGTAGCGCGTCGTTAGACAAGAGAGGTCTTGACATCGAGAACGAATCGATCGAAACGCTCGAGAATCGCACGTTAAAAATACTTTTATCGTACGATCGGCGTTCAAAACAAGAAGAAAATTTATTTCCCAATGAGAAATATCGCTAGTTTCGTCCTTGTAAACTCTCTTTAATACCGACTTCTTTGCGGAAGTCATTAAAAAAAAAAGAATGCCTCAATTTTTTTAAAATGTCGATCATGGTTGTTATGCTCGAAAAGCTCAATTATCTCCGCTTTAAATGGGCTGGGCCTCGAACGCGCGACAGCAGTTTGCGCATGTGTGTGTGTGTATGTCCTGTGTGTTGACGGACAGTCAATGTCAAGGTCGAGAGGGGGTGGGCGAGATCAGAGCGCGAAACTACGACGCACATACACCGAATTTTCCCTCTCTCTTGCAAGTCCACGCCAGTTATCGCGACTCCTTTCCTCTTCTCCAGCTCTCCGCGCGCGTTTCTCCCCTACCTCGTCCTGGTCCATCCCTACCTCGTTCGAGCGCCTTCGTTCGAGCGACTCGTACGCGCCTACGTTGCCGAGTTTCTGTTGCCTCCCCACGTTTCCCTGTGCCCCGTCTCATCCCACTTTTCGCTCCGATTATACATCAGGATACGCGCGCATGTCAGCGTCGCCAGCGCCTAGCAACCAGAAACCGATAATACGCCTCCACGTCTTTGCGCCGTTCTATACCAATTTTAACAGTGGTCGGTGCAAATTTAGCGCCTTGAAAATTGCGCGAACATCGACCTACATGCAATTACCGTCGCGATTCAATTAGAGTGCTATAGTCCGATTTAATAATGACGTATCAACGGCAATCATTGCTGGTACGATATGACGGAAGCGTTTTTTTGGGGGGAAATTGCTTTTCACAATTTTAGCGACCAACAATCCGCAGATAGATACATCTAATGTAAATTTCGCAAGTAAATCTCACAATAAATCTGCCGGATTTTCAACTAAGCTGTATCGGCTTTAGAGATAGTATAGAGCTCCAGCGGTGTTGGAAGCTTCTAGAACCAAGCCGAACTCTCCTGAATCGATCACGCGAAATGACGCAACCGACCGAGATAATAAACTCAATCCCATTTGCACTTGAAAAATTGATTAATATTTTCTAATAATGCTAATGGTAAAAACTTAACAAAATTACATTAGAGAACTGAAATGCCAGTATCGATGTCTTACCTTAACGAAAAACTTTACCTAGCTTTGAAGATATTACTTCCAAATATTATTCTCCAAAGTAATATACTTTTAAAGAATATTTCTCAAATATTACAACTATCTATTTTATATATATTTACCAAAATCTTTGATAAAATTAATTTTATCTCTACTAGTAATTAAATAAACTGAGAACGATAACGAATATCTTTATGAAATTTTTAACTCTTCTTTATGAATCATTTATTTCATAAATTGATTAGGAATATTAAGTAAATATCCTGAAAGCTAAATATCAACGCGTCGCGCATATCAATGTAACTCTTTCGTAAAATAATTAAGTTATCGAATACATTATTTATTTATAATTTATAGTGATCGGTATGCCACGACATTAAATGCAAACTATATTCGCGCCGAGTCGAGCAAATCAACACTTGTGTCGAAAACTCATGAAGAATGAATTTGTGGCTCTCTGTGGGCCGCGCTATCGATCGAGCGAGCAACTCCGTGGCCGAATAACCGTATTTGCCAGCTGCGCAGCTCAGATTAATTCCGATCCCGCGTTCTTTATGGAACGACCAGTAAACTAGTTTACTAAGCATGCAAAACCCGCATCTAAATTTCCCGTCGAAGAGACTGTTTTTCCACTAAAATACATTATGAATTATAAAGATAAAAAAAAAACATATGCACGCGATTATTCCAAAAGTAAAAAAACGATAATAATTTGAAGATGAAAATACCGGTATTATTTTATCCTAATTAGAAAGCGATTACTGAGAGAGAGCGATGCTTCGAGGATGACTTATGATCCGAGAAAGGGGCAAGTTCCCGGTGTTTATAAACATGCGGCGTACAGTGCGTGGCATGCAAAATTCCAGAATGGCTGCGCGATCGATTATCACTACCCTGCGCGAGTTTCTCGAGCGTTCCGAACTTGTCCAAGGTCACACATACCTAGAGGAGAACTGCAAGTCACTGGTGTGAGAGCCGCGCCATGCGGGGGGTGCGTGCGCATAGAATCTGGTCGTGTATTGGAAAATCGAGACCAAGTCGTTTGACTCGTACTCATGCTCGTATTTGTACTCGTATTTATACTCATACACTCATTCACTTATATACACGCGCTGTCCCTTCCCATATTTTACAATAGGATCCGGAGATTGCGCGCATTTCTACACTAATATCTTCTCATACTCTTTCATACTCTTGACGTCCATCCGTGTATAAATTTACCTTGAAAGCAGGAGGATACCACTGATGAACCGGAACGTCTCTTCCTGCGCCTTTTGCGTCTCGCCTCCTCCTGACGAGCTTGCACCGCGCTCATAGATTCCACCGTCGAAGTTACGTCCCGGCAGGTGCCATCACCTGAAAGCAAGCGCGTCGTTAGTCTAGAAGTCGCAGTTTATCGATCAATTCGATATATTATTTCATCAATTTCTCCTTTACTCGTATAACGAGTGGAAATAATCTTTCCTAATAGTAACAGTTCTGTTATCTTTCTATTAAGAACCGGTCGCGCTATTAATATATAATATCAGATAACCAATAAGGTTCATGCGCAGTGTTGTTAATAAACTTCACGAAACCGCACGAACCTTGTTGGCTAATTAATATTTCTTTTTTTTTTTATTAATTTGAGTTAACTCTTAATTAAATTCTTTACTTATTGATTACTATAAGAAAAACTTTACTTTAGTTTCATTTCACATATTCTTTGCTATAAGATATTCGCGTCGTTAGTCTAAATCGTCGTTTATTGATTAAGATGCATTAAAGACTCCAATCTTAAAATAGATGTTTGATTTAAAGCTAACGGTGGAATGATTTTTTAAGATATTCCGCGCAACGATGCGCGATTGCGCAACGAACGTACGTATTTATTTGCGGACAAAGTAGCTCGCGGCCTGCCACACGTGACGAGCTCGCGTTTCTCGTTATCGTCGTTTATTTTTGCGAACTTATCGATACAGCGGTATCATCGTTCGCTATGGTTCGATAATCGTTAATCATTCTTGCGAGTTTACGTTCGTTACCACCCGCGCATTCAGTCAGCGATACTTTTGCCGCATATAAATACACACTGTTCGATCTCTCATCTTCCCCGTCATAATGTATATATAATAAAAGTTGCTATAGTTTGCTTGTTAATAAAAAGATAATAGAAAAAATGTTACGAGAAAAGATTATCGCGCGCCGCGTAAAGTAGGGGAGTTCTGCATTCATCAGGATGCGTTGTCTTTCATGAATAACTAGACTTTTATTGGTCGAAGGTTTAAAATAATTCCCGCGTCGTTATAATTAACATCGAGTAGACGTCAGCAGGTCTCCCGCTATTTTCAACGCATCGTAAAATAACGCGTTTACATTTTCACATGTGCATTACGTAACTCAATTTATACATCGCGCTAGTTTACAATGATTAAAAGTCTGAATCATGAGCGAAGTGATAAATAATTTTAAAAAATATGATAACGTATTTTTATATATGTTCAAAAAAAATGAAAATAATTTGAAATGAAGGGGAGAAAAATATTGCTCAGAAATGCTTTATCTCTTTTGTTGATCTCGGCTTTTTTGCCGAGTGTACTTACCCGTGATAAAAGGGAAATTGGGAAGGACCGGCGGGAGTTCGTTCTATAGGGACGCCTCGGTTACAGAGGGAACTTTTGTATCTGACAGGGCGAAAAAGTGTACGTGCAATCGATTTCGCCGGCGGCAAATAAAAATGGAAACAGTTCGCCTGTAAAGTCGGTCCGACACAACAATGCGTTATCGTTCGGACGTAAAATTGATACAAGATCAAAACAACGAATAGTGATTTTGCAGCGGTCTGTATATGCAGATAGATTCTATCTTCGCACTTTCTAATTCGGGTAAAAATGTATGTGTGTGCGACTGCTGCTCGCTGATACGAACCGTCGTGCCAGCGGCAGTTTGGCGTTTCCCTCTCTATTCTCTTGTTGGGAAAGTTCACTCGCTTGGCTTGACTTGCGCGAAGGCGCAGCCCTGGGAGACCGGTAACCGGTAACGCGATTCACGATCTTCAACGTTAACGAAGTTGCACACTGGATATTTACGCGAGCCATACATCACTGGCGAGGCAATGCTTATATTCCACGATGTTTCTGCGACAATGAGTTTATGTGCGCAAACGGCTTTCGTATATCAAAATAAATGTTTGCACTGAGAATCATTTAGTTAATTATATATAATCAAGTGAATATTGATAGCATTGAATCAAATCTTACTTTGTATTCTTGTTGTTGACAATGTACCTGTCACTTTTATTTGATTGACTTTTTAATTAAGAAAGTGCGACCATGCATAAGCAGCGCGCTTAATCAGAAGAGAATTTTTTTTTTCGATGAATAAAATATGTATTTGTAAAAAAATTAAAAGAAAATGAAACACTTTATCGCCTCGTAGAAATTTCGAATATTGAAAAAACGCGGTGCTAATTACACTGCGTATTAATAGCGATAAATCCGCTTTGTTTTTCCGAGCGATGCGGAAGAACAATCGATCGTGTGGGCAAAGACGTTGCGGCGATACTAGGAGGTGCGCGATAAATAACGGCGATGAATAATAAAATACTATGTGTGAGTGAATCGACTCTCTGCCACTCCTTCGAGAGTGGACGGACACACTCGGGTCACTCGCGTGGGCCGAGGAGAAATCAGAGTCGGATCGAGAACGAGCCCGCGCGTAACTGTAAGCCGAGCGATTCCTCTCTCATTGTCTGCGATAATCGCAATGACCGACGATTCCGCGGCAATCTTGGAATGGAATTAAGTCAAAATATGTCGGCGAATAAAGAAGAAAATATTGGCAGAACAAAGATGATCTATATTACTCGAAATGATTTCATTGCAAACGCGATTGCGCCATGAGTCGTGTTTAATTCATGTGACTGTAATCGCATTAATCGATAACAAATATAGTTCAAGCCCACGTTCTGACCGAAGGAAAAAAATATGCAATCGTAACAGTTTCTCGAGAAATCATTAGCTCTAAGAACTTGAAAAAGATTGATTAGTATCGCTCGAGTGTTATTCGAGGCGTTTTCGCTCGGAGACAACTACCGGCTATTGTCTTCAGGCGACTCGAGAGAGACTCGGATTTCACAGTGATCCAAAAATAAGCGTACGGACACTTGGACAGGACGTCTCGCGATCGACCATCTCCGAAAATGACTGCATTTTGCGGCATATATCGAGAGCCGATCTTCCATCCGGAAATGCTACAAATTTCGAGACGGCCTCTCTCTTTCAGACTCGCCCCATTCATTTCTTTTTGGAATCTTTAACTTTCGATGCGCGCGCGTGTGTCCCACTATCGTCACACATTTTCGCGCGTGATCATAATTTCGGTGCCGAGGCACCAAGTGTATTTTCGTGCGTCACGTCGACGCCGACGCCGACATCGCACAACGACCGGCACGAACCGAGTCTCCGAGTTCAATGACTGGCACAGAAAAGGAACACCGCCATCTTACGCGAGATATGCACGTACGATAGTGTCCTATCCGCATGCGTATGCTGCTGATTACGCGAGAATTATCACCGCATCGCGATGAATTTCCTTACATAAATCTTAGAGAAAGAAAAAAAAGATGCGGCCGACGTACACTCCAATTGTTGTAACATTGTCACACTTGAAGACAGTTAAATCTATAATCTCCCCGTTGAGAATATATATTTAGACACGGTTCTCTGTCGAAGAGTAACGAAAAATCCTCTTTGAATGATAAACTGGATTACCTGTTCATAAATGAAAGGCTTCACGATGACCCGAAACATCGTGCGCGTTCGTAATGAGTATTTTAGCCGAAGTCTGAGAGGAAGATGGTACACAACTGTGTAATAATGTATCATTAACGATCGCATAAATTAAGTGAACAAAGCGACGGTACACATACGAACACATCGTCACCCAATTAAAGGGTCAGGCAGAAAAGGAGTAATCACGCGACGTGCCGGAGCGTGACTTTTATTTTCCTAGCTGTTATCGTTACGTGAGGCTGCACATATGTGACAGTGGAAACCTACGCGGAGAATCGTACGGTGCATATCTCGGCTCTTTTCTGCTCCGACAAAGAAATAGCGCTCGGTTATAATTTGACGTATAACTTTCCGAAAAAAAGAATATTGTGCACAGAACTGTGCACAAATGTCGAAATAAATAAAGACCGCTGTTCTATTTCGAATCGCGATGCACACCTCCTCTTTTCTTTATTTCTCTATGTATTATTTTTAATGACGATTGTAAATGCTGCTCCAATTTATTATTTTTATTTAAACGAAACATCCATTTCTGTTCTTAATGTACATCGATAGCGCGAGAATCGAGCGATCAAACGTTCAAATATTAACCATGCACGACGTTATTTAGTTTGAAAGACCGAATCAAAATCGGTATGTGTAGTTGTTGTCTCTTTGTTCTTCTGGTCGTACGTGTGCTTCCCTTTAAAAGCGCACGAAACTGACATGCGCGGCCCGGGACCCTTCGTTCTTTGTTTGAATCGCCCCATAACCGACTCGTTCCCCCTTCGCGTCGGGATTCGCTGGCGCCGAACCCCGAACCATCTTGTATACCGACTAACCCACTTCGCCCCATCGTCCCTTTTCCAACCCCCAAAAAATAATCTGGCCATGCCAAGCGACGCCGATACTCGGAAGCGGCGTTGCAAAATCCAATGACGCCGTTAGCCGCCGTGCGCGCGCGGTTTCTCCCGGCTCCAAAAATACCCGAGTTTGCAAGATTTTGGCAGATACATTGGCGCAAAATCATCATAAAAAGACGGCGTCAGCGAGATTTGATCCGCGACCGAGGCGAAATAATTTTGCAGACGCGGATAAAAATAAGAATTCGACGTTCTCATATTTACACGTATCTTCTTTCCTCCGATCATCTAATTTTCGTTCTTCTTTTCGCCTTTTGAGTAAACTGGAATTGCGGACGTGATTATAATTATCGGTTTATCCATTAACGCGAACAAACCGTCGGCTAAGAAATAATCGCGTGCGACGTTAGTCTTTCGTCTTATTTGGAAATGTTACGTGCGCGTCTGTTTTATTTTGTTATCTCCTACAAAGCGTGTTTATATAATTAGATGCGACGTAGTAGCCTTGAGAATTTTTCCAAGTTTAAAAATAGTAAAAAGCGAGGCACAATTACCGATTGTTTGACTTGATTATCAGTGAGCTACAGAGTATACGAAAATATTCAGCTAAGCACGCACGAATGTATATTATTAACAATCTGACGATCACCTTGCGCAGAATATCCGCGTTACATCAGCCATTCTATTTATCGCTCACGACGTATGTGAACGAACTGAAGAAGTTTGATTCTACTGCATCGTGTTTTTCGTGAATAAAATCGGTTTGTATCTTGCAGCGAAACGTGTGAAATCTAGCGCCGCAGCGGCGGCGAATTACGTAGAAAAAGTCGATATACCTTGTAATACTCGATACGTTCGACGATGTTCATCAAAACATCTGAGAGAAACCCGTTTGCCACGTCGCGATCCTGTGCGGTCTGATGAAACGTGTTCGCGTGTTTACAGTATGCTGTCACCAAGAAACGCAATGAAACAAGCAAGCGATTAATTAGCAAATTATTATTCACTTATCCTTTCTGATCTTTTTTCCATTGAAAAAAAAGTAAGGAAGCAAGTCGCCATTCACGTATCGGCCGGCACTGCACGCTTTCGAGAAAGTTCCTTCTCGCTGACTCCTCGACTCATCGTATTCGCGACGCGATTTTCCGCAACGACACGCGAATTATTAAACGAGCGTAATGTAATCGCATCCGATATTCTCGACGCGTCTTCTTTTTCCTGTCAACGTGACTCGCGAACGTCAAACTCATCAATCGTTCCCCCACCTTGCTAACTCCTAAAATTACTTTGTCCCGTGACAATGATGAAAACGCAAATCGCAAAGGAGTATTTATCCGTTATCCTGGGTCGTTGCACATCGACCGGTGAAAATGGCCGCCGTAGCTGCCGACTGCGATGTTCGCCGGTTCGCAAAATAAACATCGATGTACAACGAGGTATTTCATAAGTCCCGATCGTAAACTTCGTGACAAATTCTTTGATGAATTCGGATTAGAGTTTCCTCGGTGAGCACGTTGAGATATTGATAGAAATCGAAAAAGACAGTACACTTTTCGCTTTACAATTAGACAAGTGGAGTAGCTAAGGAAATCGTTTAATAGGTTAACAAATGGACTTGGGTTGAAAATATGAAATCTGAACACTACAAGGATGGGATGGAAATCAATAAAGATTGATTTCAAGCTGTTTAGAGAAAGTAAGGTCGGGCAGTAAAGTCATAAGAGTTGTAAAATATCACGTGAAATGAGAATTTCACTCACCTCGTCCGGCCTCCTGAGTACCGTCCTCTCTTTCCTCCAGAATTTTCTCTACCATGTTTCCTCGTGCACTCTTCGTCCTTGCAGATGAAAGATGAAGCAATTTACTGGTTCACCACAATCGAGAGATCTGTCCGAGCGCTCGTTCTTCACTCTTGTAACTCGCACCGGTGCAATAATTATAAAAAAGTCAGTCGTATATACAAAAAAGCCTATCCACTAAGATACTGATATAATCTTCCGTCGGAGCGATTTTCTCTCTCCCTCTTAGATCTTCGCTTCGCGTCGCTCGCCTCTCTCACTTACTCTCCTCTCCTCTCTCCTCACTCTCTCGCCTCTCTCTCTCTCTCGTCTCGCCACGTATTTCTCGTGAAGAGGGTCGATGTATATCAGCGTCGATATCACAGATACAAATAAATATATAAAGCCTATCTCTATATATCTCTTCTCCGCGCAGTTGTTCTTTCTTTCTCGCGAACGACGATGACACGTCCACAGGTGCTACTGCTGATAACGATGTTGTTTTTGAATAAATACTATCACAGACTTTGACACTGCACTTTCTCTCGGTCGGTCATCCTTCGCGTTGATTTTTTTTCTTTCTTCCCTTCCTCCCTTTCTCTCTCTCTCCCTCTCTCTCTCTCTCTCTCTCTCTCTGTCTCTCTCTTTCTTTCTCGCGACGTCAAGCTTCTTTGTCGACGTCGATCTTCCTCTCCTAACAACCAAGCAGCCAAGCCTTTCCGCCGATGAGAAGCTAAGCTCGTCGTCAGCCTCTCGCCAGAACCTTCTCCGCGCGACCTGCTCGTCGTTACCTCGTCTTCCTCCTCTCCTCTTCTTCCCGCTGCTCCCCCTCCGCAGAAGGTTTTTAACCGGTTGCACCGGGCCTTTTCGCACGCGATGTTCGTCGTGGTTCCGTTGTCGCTATCGCACAGCCTCTCGCACGTAGCGGCAGTCGGGCTCGGAAGCGCATTAAAAACCCTTCGTCTAACACATCTGGTCGTTCTTCCTCATCACCATCCCTGACTGCTCGGCAGTTGGTTTCCGACTGAGCTCGACAAGATGGCTGCTCTGCTTACTAACACCTCGCGATCCCCCCCACCGCGCCCTGGAACTGCTTCAGCTTGCCTCTCGCCATCGCGGCTCCGCGAATCACGAGGCTCTGACGACGCCCTGCGAGTCACGTAGGCAACGTGGCTCTCAGGCGGCGGCTCCGCGTCCCTACGAATGATGCAAACGACGACATTTATTAGTGAACTCGTGTATGACGCAAACTGGGAATCTTGACCGCGACGGTAACATAATGCATATATATCATGCGATATATCATTCAATACGCAATACCTCGCGTGATTTTCCAGCTTTATATGTGCAGCGCGAAACGTCGAAATCTGTCCTCTGCATCGCCTGCGATTGCTTTTGTAACCTTTACGGGTTTTTTATTTTTTATTTTTTTCCCCTTTTTTTATTGTTTCCGAGTTCGCACCGAGCAGTTGTAGCGAGTTACCTGATTTTTTTTCCGTCGATAAGGCGAACCTCGTTACGCGAACATTGATCAGTTGCATTATCTCTCCCTTATTAACAAATTACAAGAGATGGGCTTCATATCTTTCGCATTTATCTCGTATATTTAACGCGAAATGACAGCCTCTGATTTTGATCGCGAAAGATATGAGAGTCGCTGACTCTGCTCTCTCTCTGGTCGCCGGCTTCGGCCGCGCCATGTTGCGCGTAATAATACGAAGCGTCGAGCATTTACTACGCCGTACATCCTGAAAAAAATCATTCTTTCGTCTTTCACAGGGCGTCACTTGGCACGGCGTTTACGTTCGTCCCTGTTTACAAAGTTAGATAAAGACGGCGGGTGATGCCGATGCCGGTTGCGTGGCCGCTTGTTTTCGGTAATGTAGATGTGTGCGCAAGGTGCTCTCCGGTCACGTACGTCGCAGTCCGACGCGTAAGTCGTGCGCAGTCGTGGTGGCGACGAGCAAGGGGGACATCGGCAGCGAAACATTCTACGCAAGAAACATTTCAGAGCCAGAAAATATAAAATAGCTTTATCTTCCACCCTATTTCATGCGAATATAGGTATAACGTCGAATTTCCATATTAATTCCATGACGATTGTGTATTACATATGTTCCGAATTCCTTTCAATGATTTTGCACGTGAAATTAGGAACGAAATTCGAAATTTATATGCGTGTGCGCTTTCGCATACATTCACTCGCTCCACGCAATGAATATGTACAAGGTAGTTAATCAAACGCCCACTTGTTTTCGATCGTTCAGGGTTCGTCACTGGTAGGGTAAGATCGCGGTATCAATTTATCGATGCGAGTGGAGTATATTGTTACGTAAGCGTCATCAGCGACTCGATAACCCTAGACGCTTTCCCTCGCCCCTGACGCCTCGGTTGTTGCGTTGCGATCTTAATCGTCTCCGCGCGATGCCGCCTCTGAAAGTGCGGGTTTCGAGGAAGTTGACTCCTCATGATTAGAATCATTCGTCTCCTTGAGAATCCTCCCGTCCGCCTTGACGTGTTCTTCTCTAGGTTCAACAACAGCCGACACAAACGTTATCTATCTATGCAAACAGAATCTCTCGTCATTAAACATGAGTTATTGATACTTGGATATTTAATCGTTTTCGAACAAATAAATCTAAGAGCACCTTGCGTACACATCCAACAGACAAGCTTGCCGAGCTTTATTGTTTCTGGAAAATGCTATGCGATAAATATCGATACGACTACGAATTGCAATGTGCACGACGGTTGAATTTGAAAAGCATGCCTTATTTAAGGAGCCGGCGTGCGAGAATCACGTCATCGTGTTGCGCAACTCGGTTGGACAATGGGATAACAAGGTCGGAACGACACAGTGTTATTGCCAGTTTGCCGAACTTTGTTTATAGCTTTTAGACGCGGCGCACTTTCTCGCGTAAACACAGACCAGTGCCAATGAGAGTTCTAACACGTTTGCGCGTATGTTGCCCGAACGGATAGGTCTTTTGAGAGACGATCGCGAGATTTATTTACACGCACGCGGGCAAAAATAGTACGCTATCGCGTTAAGCGCCACCAGATATCGTTCGTGCAATATGGGATTAACATTTGCATCATGCCTTTATCTTGGCGAAAGCATCAGCCGACTGATTAATTTATTGCGTGAGAGAAAAATGGTGGGGAGAGGAAAGGGGGGAGAGAGAGAGAGAGATGTAAATGCGTATCATAATAGTCTTAATCTCTGCTTTCACTGATATTTTGTACGACTGCTTCAAGGTCAGCAGCAAAGGAGAAGAAAACCCACGTTGGCGAAGTTTCGTCTTACAAATATTATCGGCCAATTTTGAGTCACAAAAATCTTCATCGGTCACACGTTCATCAATAACCATCAATAAATATCAGCGTCGAGATCAAGTTTTTTTTGCGACGCTAAATGGGACATCGAGAAATTTATCTTTATTGGTGAGTTCTATAACTTCTTTTTACTAATTAGTTTTTATTTTACTAATTTAATGCTATGAGATGATATACCAAATATGATTTTTTTATGCCCGCAAATTGATTTCCCAACAATATTAAATGTAACGCATGTTACATAGATACGTATTTCGTGATATATATGCTATCTTGTTGTTCCTTGAAATTCGACACTTATTAAATTACACTCTTAAAATATAATAATCGCGATTGGTTCACTTAATTGATAATCAATTAAGTATGTATACATTTTGCTGCGCAATATTTGCTGTCGCAACAATTAAACCACTAGTGCATTACGAACGCAAATTTGTGAACAGCGTCTTCAAAGGGCTGCCGATCAATTCGATAACTGTTTTTGCGCGATAACATTTCCATTCCGAGTTTAGAAATGACGATCGCTCGATTCGCGACCGATCCTTTCCGTGAGAAAATTCCTTTCGGATTTCTCGCGCACGTATATAGAAATTTTCAAAGATTGTTTCTTTTCGACTCGCACGTTCTCGTCCCTAATACACACACAAAAATGTACGAACCGGTTTCTGCACGTGGCATGAGTCGTTCGAATGTGACCGGCGAACCAGCGGAATTCAACTTACCACCACCATCATAAGCGCCATGCGACTTTCTTTTTGGCTATCGGACATCTCGGTCGAATTAGCAGGTCGTAATATTTAACACTGCCGTGTCTTTCGGTTCTATTTGACCGAAAAATTCTACTTGACCCGTCGCTACCGAAATCGTAGTAATTATATCGATATTGAATCGGTATTTTCTTCGAGCATGTCGACTGCCACAATCTTTCGCGTTTAGTTGGCGCACCTTGCGACAAAAAGTGCTCGGAAGCATAATTTATGCATTATAATCAGAGCGTGATTTCGTTTAAAAATGCGCAAGTCAAGTGCGCAGAACGAACGTTTCCTATTTCGTATGACGAAACATCAGGTGCTATCTCGCATTCATCTCATAATTATCCACGCTTGTATTTTCGCGTTCCGATACGTGTCAATAACTAATATTTATCATGATAAAGGTGTTGCTATTCGAGTCTCGGCTTTATATCGCTTGCGATGTATGTAAACTCGACCGAGCGAGTCAATAAAAGGCAATGCGCATAATCGCTACTAAAAATTAGCGCTAATTGTCACGACGCGACAACGGTTCATCTGCTTGATAAAAACGTGTTGATTTTAATGCACGATAATTAAACTGCCAAATCCCATCATTTTAATGAGGAGGCGTCGTCGCGCTCGCCTTATGACTCACAAATGTTATGATTATTATACATAACAGTCTTGCAGCAAGTATCCATGAGCGAGACTTGTGTACTTGTATATATCTTTTTCAAACAGGCCACCAACGCCTGCACGTTATTCCGACACAATATCGCGCGATTAGTCATTTGTACTAATTTACTGCTCAGGTGCACGTGTAATGCTCAGGCGACACTGTGCAGATGTCGTGCACACTTGCGCATTACATTTGCGTGTCGGGGCAAATATATTTCCGCGACGTATTTTTGCGAGCCCGATGTTTCCGCGCGATTGTCGCATCAAGGTACACTCGAGCGCGGAATGCGCCAATATAAACAGCGTGAAAAGATTTCGGACGGAGCTGTACCTTTTTGCGCACGATAGAAATGGACGCGTGCGTCGTATCGTCTCCGCGTCGACTTAAAGGAGAACGATCACGATGCGGTTAGAACGTAGTATTACGTAAGCGAGGGTACGATCAAGGCGAAGCGATGACACGCCGGCCGGCCGGCCGGCCGGCCGGCCGGCGAACATGCGGGTCTCGTTCGTTTTTTTTTTCACGACACGCCTAATGAAGCAAACACTCGCGCAAACACTTGCAAATAAAGTATTTGTCTTGTACACCCTGCCACTTGCACGCGCAGCGCGCGATTATTCGTACAATCTGAATAACGCAATATTTACGGAGATGAATCACATTTGCGGTCTCCGCGTACGCACGTGTGTACACACACGTCGTATCTTTTGGGCAAATCTATCGAATCCGGGAGACCGAATGTATCGCGCCGCTATCGATAAGGACGTGGTCGCGAAAACAACGCTCTTTCATCCGGGGCTCATCATCGCCGGTCGACGCTGCGAAAAAGTGCCTTGATAAGAAGGATTTTATGCGCGTGGAAACTCTTTTTTAGATAATAATGTTTGTTACATTAGGTGATTATATTCTTATCGTCGAAATTGACCTATTTGCCACGCGCGATTACGTGAGACTTTATATCGCGTTTAATAGTCTTGAATGTCTAAATTTAACTCTTCGCTATCGAAAGAAGAATAAGTAATGTGATATTGGAGTGAGTAATTGCAAATGGAATGTAATTTTCTGCGTATGGAAAAATATGAAAATTAGAAAGCGTTATCTATGAGCTCACTATTTTGCCAACAAATAAGATAAGACGTTTTTCTTTCTTTCTCCTCCCTCCCTTCTTCTCCCCCCCCCCTCTTCTTTCTTTCTCTCTTACGCGCGTCTATTCCTTTTCGTCTTTCAAACACAAATTTTATGAACCTGGCGACCTTCCGATTCGCGATCTC